TCCTACACACTTAATCTATAGGATGCTGCTGAAATAAGGTTTTAGGCAATGATGCTTTTTGCCTTTAATGTATATTGTTTTTCTGTTTGTTATATTTCTGTATGTTAGTATGTATATGAACTCAATCAACAGATTGTATATGTAAAAAAAAATAGTAGAGCATTGACTGCGTTTAAACCACACTGTATCGTCGGCATTTCAACTACTTTATAGACTAACGTATCAGATAGATAAAGTAATGATTCCAAAACCACTATTGCCAAAAACTCTATGTTTCTTTGGTATTCTAAGTGAATCTATTGTATAAAAGAAGTTTTGTTTAGAATTTGTAAAATTGCTGCAAAAAAGTTCACCACTAATTTCGCAGGTAAAAATACAACATCAATTTGCGCTCCAAAGAATCAGTTATTGATTTTCATGGCTAACTCTGCTTGTTCTCTCGAGATAATATCAGCTACTCAGTCATTGTTACTTAGAGGGGATTACACAGAACTCAGATATTCAAAAATTGGAATTTGATGATCACGTGAATGTCACACGAATATCACGTGGACAAAAATCATCGCCCCGACAGAAAAATAAAAATTCTCGCGAAATAGCTCGTATGGCGCAGTGGTAGCGCAGCAGATTGCAAATCTGTTGGTCCTTAGTTCGATCCTGAGTGCGAGCTGTTTGTTTTTTTGGAACCATGATGAACATAATTTTTGAAAGGACACGGTAGTGAGTTCACTTAAGAAGCTATGCTACAATAAGAGACAAATAAGCAGTACATTTGGGATCTTTTAACGCTAAAATACATAATTTATTGATTAAAAATTAAGGGTTAGGTATATACAGTGTATAAATTGGGAAACTAATAATATTGAATTAATCTAAAGCTGCGCAGTATTGAGATTTTCTTCTCAAAGCGGGACCATATCTGTAAAACAAGAATGGAACTGGAATCAACACTGCAGCTATACAACCGATCATAGTTGAGGCCCATTTGATCTTCATATTTTCAAACATTTGTTTTGAGAATAATGGGAAAGCGGCACCGAATGATGATCTTAAGAAGGTATTACCAGCAACTGCAGAAGCCGAAACAACGAAATAGCAATCGATGATATAGACAAGACAAGGCAAGAAGATAGTAATCAAACCAATACCAATCGGAACTGCACCCAATGTAGGTACAATCCAATGAACCTTTGGACCAAATCCTCCTGCCCAACCTAACCAAAAGATACCGATTGTAAATGAGATTGAACCTACCATGATTGGAAGTAAAGCAGCTTCTGGAGTGCTTGGCTTACCTGTTCTATTCACAATTTTTTGATTTCTGAATTCGAAGGCAAAACAGATGACACCACCTATTAAACTTCCAATAAACATAGCAATATATGGAAGTTCTCCAACACCGGCAGACCAACCATAAGTACCCGTGAAGATTAATGGAATCGCAGTTAAGAACATGTATAATAAACCATAGACGAATGCATTATAAAGCGAAATCAAAAACAAAATTGGTTCAGTGAATAACATCTTAATTGGTCTTGAAACTTGATTTTCAGCAATTTCCAGGATTGACAATTTAACTTCTTCGTGTGGCGCGTAAATTCCCCAGATTCCTGTTCTTCTTCTCAATACTTCGGCCTTGTCCATTAAAATCACATCTGCAAATGTTTCCTTGATGAAACAACACAAAATGAATCCCAAAGAACCAACAATTGCAATAAAATAACCTGTCCATCTCCATCCCAAATCGTCATTCTTGACTGTAAATCCACCCATGAGAGGCGCAATCATAGGACCACCGAATAAAGCCATTGCAAAGATAGCAAGAGCCTTGGATCTAACCTTTTCGTTAAACAAATCGGCAAAAATAGCAGGGACAATAACTAATGGGGCAGCACCGATAAATCCAGCAAAGAATCTGCAAATAAGAATGGTTTGTATATCCTTACCAGTTGCAACTGCGAATGAGAAACATACAAATCCGAAGTTTGATATCAATAATGGGGTCTTTCTTCCGTATACTTCTGATAATGGACCCCAAATGATTGGACCGGACGCAAAACCAAAAACAAATAAGGAAGTAGCTAAAGCTGAAGTAGTCCATCCAATATTATAAAGGTACATCAATGAAGGCTGAGCTGCAGCAAACATAGCAGAACCCATGGTAACAGCCAATGCCGTTATACAACAAGCAAATGAAATATAGAATTTTGTTCTCCATGACCAATTGAATGGATGTGTTGGATCGTCGGGTCCATCAAACAGGACTTCGTAAGGAAGTCTTTCAGGTAATTCAGGTGGATAATCTTTTCCTTCTCCCATCCTTGGTAATGGTGAGGACAAAGTGGATGCACGTCTGAATATTCTTTCAGCACCGGTTATTCTTCTACTCACGGAACTTCTTCTACTTATTATATGTGATAATGGAGATTCAGTTTCTTCCAGAGGATGCTCTTTTAGTACTAATTGATTAGGATGATGCATATTTGGGTCAGATGATACGTCAAGGGCGGAATCCGATATCGAATCCCTTGGTGAGTTATGTTCTGAGTTCATGTTTTGATATTTTAAATAAGTTTAATATTAATATTGTTGTAATATTTGTTAATGATGAGAATACAATTCCCAAATAATCATGAAAGGTTATTTGACCCCATTTTTATACTTGTCCGGAAGGAGATGAACCCTTTCTGTATCCGTTTGAAATCCGGATGAGGTAGCGCATATTTTAAGCGAGAGCATCACGGAAAAATTATTTTCACATGCAAAAATTTCATTTGTTTCTAGGAACAACAAACGACCCATCAGACCCTTCACAAAGACAAAACTTAAATTAACCGACATCGCTATTGTTTGTTCATGTACGCCATACAAGATGAGTGATTTATTTTCCAAGCTTCTTTGTTTTGGGTCAGAACTGGCCATTGCAAAATCGTTTCTAGTTGTCAATGGTTTCGGAAAAGCAAACAATGGCGAAAGTGGCCTTATTTTGGATTTGTTTTGAGCAATAGCTTTTGGAAATGGGAACCAAGGAGATACACAAACTTTCTGCGGATCTTAGATCTGAATTTCTAGTTCTTTTCTTTAGGGGTGAGACGAGATTTCAGTAGTAAACTTTTCTTTGCTTGATTTTGCAACCTCGGAAAAAAAAATGTTCTATTTTGTTACCTCGGAAAAATCAAAAATCAGACTTATCTCCGGACGGAGCTATGAAAGGCTCCTTACATGCAAGTTTAAGCCACAATCACTCCACCTGTTGTGTTTAAGAAGGTGACATTTATTGAATACTACGTGAGTGGTCGCAACTTGAAAAATCAGGATACTTACTGCACCAACCAAGCAAGTAGCAAGTATGTCCTGAGTTTGAGTGATTATTTGAACAATGTTTAGCCCCAAACCTCATGGCCGACCAGACAGATGGAATCTAACCTTTTTTGAGATTTTATTTACCACATTAAATAGAGAGAAGTTTGAAGGTGAAAGTTCTTAATAATGAATTAGAAACGGTCAACTTCCAAGCTCGATTGAGGTTTTTTTGTGTGGACGACATTGTAATCAATTATGATAGCATTTTATAAATTCTTAATCATAAAACTTCTTCTAGATCTGGGGAAGCTGCACAGAAAATTGGTGCCGAAACATCCTTGGGATAGTACAACACTTCGAAGTACCATCGGCAGAAATGCAAAAATTGGAGTCGAAGTAATACATAGCAATGCTGGTTTTTTACACTAACTGAGGACTTGATATATATTCTCAGTAGTATTTGACAGGCAATTATGCCTTGGTGGATTGAAAGGAGCACTTAATTTGCAACAAATTTTTCTTACACCAAATCGAATTTGTTCCCTCATTTTTTTTGCAACAAGTAATTTATAAATTGGAATACAAGAAACACACCATAGCGGACTTCTTCCTTTCTCATTCTAAGATATTACATTCTTATAGAGTAAATTGTACAGGATATATATTATCTGTACTATGATTGTTCTATCAGTGCCTGACTCGTATACCGTTTGATAAATTGGATCATTATCACACTTTAAAACTTCGATATTCTCGGAATAAGTTCGAGACATAAAGCACCTTTGTATGGAAATAATGAAGGATTTCTTCCATTATTTTCAGTCTAATTTTCCCATACGTTTATGTCGATTTGAAACTGACTACTTCAAATCCAAGTTATGGTTTGCTGCAAATGTAAATTCCGGGTCGTGCGATGAACCAATAATCATTTTAGTTCCTGCATATTTCAAAAGCCGTAATTCTTGCAATTCTACACGACAGGAAAGCTTAGATTCTTGTGGAGGGAAGTCTTGAACTAATAGCTTGTTGAATCAACTAGAGGGAATTTAAACCAAAGCTAATTGAAGAGAAATGGATTTACCTGATGGATTTATTCCCATTGTTGCTGTCTTCTATGCAGTTTTCCATCCTACTGAAGGCACAAAGATCGTACATCAAGTTCCAGATAATTCAATAGTCACATCAGCCAATCTTCACCGAACAAAGACTAATACATCCCGTCTATCAATGGCCTCTTCGACCTCATCTGATTCAAAAGACCGACATAATCATAATCGATACTTCAACGAAAGTACTGGGGAAGAGGTGGAAGGATTATTTAATTTTGATACTGTTAAAAATTATGTGATACCCAAACCTCATTTGTGCAATAGATTAATTTCATTCAAGATTAATAGATATAAGGTCATAGGCTATCCTGTCAATATGGAAAATGAGCGATATTCTAGAAATTCATTTAGTTTTAATTTTTGCTTTGTATTTCCTTATGATATGGGTGATGTTTCACCATATGAACCCGCAATTAAGCGAATGGGTCAAATGTTTCAAGTTCTAGAAGAGCAGAACTTTATATTAAGTAAATTAGATAAAGATAATTCATTTTTCAAAAAGGGAAGCACAGGGATGGCGATAAAGGATAGTATAGTATCTTCCGGTAACAGTATAAACTTTGGAATTGATTTAGAAGCCTATACCTCCAACGTGGTCTCAGTTCAATCGAGCAATGATGCAGCAGTCAATGCCCCAGGTCATGCCAAGACTAAGCAGATTACACTTTCCTCAATTGAATCATTAATAAATCAGCTATATCAAGATTTGAATAATTATTCGGAATGCTGTATTCCACTAGATACCGCAAACTCAGTGGACATCAAGTTATTCCCAATCCTTCCACCTCCAATAAATATCAAGGCATACCAAGTTCCCATCGCCACTGTGAAATTGAATTCCTTAGTGGATGTGAATTGGGACCCTACCATGATCAAGATTTTACCTTATATCGATGGATTAAACTCAGTTAAGAGAATTAGTGAATTGGCGGACGCTAACTATTTATTAACCAAACAATGTATTCAACATCTAATGCACTACAAATGTATCGAAATTGTAGATATATTCCAATTCAATAATATTTATGCCCCAACTAACCATATTGGAGAATTTTTGAAATTTAATGGGAAGATGGCAGAAGATTGTCAAGCTTATGTGGTAACTGCTGAATCAAATTTAGAACAGCAATCCTACTTTCCTGTCCCATCCTCGTTTAATTCGTCTCCATCTCATACAGGTATGAGTACTTCCCCTTATTCCATCCGACATTTTGATCAAAGTTCAAGCTCATACAAGAAACTGAACTCGTTGTCTAAATCGCCTAGATCAGTGGGAAACTCACCCAGTTCAGGGACGAATGTAACCGTCCCCACAAAGACAACATTGTTTTATTTATATCGATCACTCAATCAAGGTCAATCAGTTAAGGAATGGTATATACAGCATCGGAAGTTATTGAACAATATCGATGTTAGAAGGTTTATCAATTTTGGTGTATTGAGAGGTATCATTTATCGGGTCTATTCCTATCCATTGCTAAATTCAATAACTAGATCAGTGGAAAGTGGTGATTTAGAGCAATATGATAACTTTGTGAATCGATATCGAAAGAGTAGTAAAGCTTCCAAAACAGTTAAGATGGAAGGAAATGAGAAACTATTGAAGACTAAAGTGAACGAGCTGGTACTAAAGACAGATAAGAAACGAAAAGTAAGTTTCTCGACGGTTGCCGGAAATATAAGAGAAGAGCCCAAGAAAACATTTACCCCAGACGAAGTTTTGTTGGAGAATAGTAGTGAAGATGAAGATATCGATGAAGAAGAAGAGGAGGCACATGATATTCCTCAGCCGTTTGTTGGTGATCATATGGTACCACTAGCAAAACGAAGCTCTCGTCAATCATCGTCTTCAGCTACTAGGTACAAGTTTAGTGGGGTGTTATCTCGTCTGGATTCTGAAGTAATCGAGTCGTCAGATGATGAATGCGAATTGGATTCAGAAGAAAGGGAAGAGGAAGAAGACATGTTATTTTTGATCAAAATGTTAAAAGGGTATCAGCATTTTGATTCTATAAGTACTGAATTACAAAAGTCAAGATTTGAAGTTGAAAAGATGATTGAAAAGTTGGGGTCATATAATATTGTCAATAGTTAGATGTAATAATCCGGGTAACATTTCCAATAAGATAAACTTTAAAGCGCGCGCTTTTGCTGGTTGTCGGCAGAGAAAAAAGAGATTCGCGAAAGAAACCTGTAAATTTTTTTTTTCCTAAACATCTTTTCTTCCTGTTGTTCTTTTTTTTACACATTTGAATTGTTTGTTTACATTTTATAAAGTTGTTTTGATTTTCACTCTTTTTCTTTTTCACTTCAATTGATTAATTAATATTATTATTCGTATTACGATAAAATGTCAGGAAAAGGAAAGGTTCATGGAGGCAAAGGTAAATCCTCAGAAATTGCAAGATCGTCAACTTCTCATTCAGCAAGGGCTGGTTTACAATTTCCAGTTGGAAGAGTTAAAAGATATTTAAAGAGAAATGTTCAAAACAAAGTTAGAGTTGGTTCAAAAGCTGCTATTTATTTAACTGCTGTTTTGGAATATTTGACAGCAGAAGTCCTAGAATTAGCAGGTAATGCTGCCAAAGATTTAAAGGTTAAGAGAATTACCCCAAGGCATTTACAATTGGCTATTAGAGGTGATGAAGAATTAGATAACTTAATCAAGGCCACTATTGCTTATGGTGGTGTCTTACCACACATTAATAAAGCCTTATTATTAAAGGTAGAAAAGAAAAAGCAAAAATAGATGGCTCCTTTGGATCCCTCAATTTTTTTTAAGAATTTGAATATGGAGGTGGGAAAGAAGCTGGATGGTTTTTTGTAATTTACTTCGGGGATTACAAGTAAGTAATTTCCTTGGTAATTGGCTCTTTTGCTATATTATCAGAATAGATTCTTCAAATTCAGTTGTATTATATATGTTATCAATTTAGTTTCTTTATTTTTTTATAGTGTTTTAATATTATTCGTTTTGTTTATCATGTACTTTTTGCTTTATCTATTTCGCTGTATAAATAATATCTACAAGGGTAATTGGTTTATATACATGATCTCTACCAAGAACCAAAAGAAACCAGTCATGCCGCTCCTGATGTTTACCTTATTCGGGTTTCACGCTGGTACTGTTGTTTACTAATGCAGGTTGGAGAGAAGGTCGTGATAAGGCAGAATCTTCATTGATTTTATTTTTGCCTGAATCCGGATCTTCCTTCTTTGGTGATTCAACTTTGATATATTTAGGTTTATATCCATCCGGTATTTTATAGTCATCCATTTTAATATTCAATTCACCCAATTTCTCCTTAATATATTCAATCTCACTCTGCAACACTGAGATATCATCAGCCAAAGATTCTCGAGCCGTGCTTGCCTTCTTTCTACTTCTATAAGCTTCATAAAAAATCAATGACCCTGCCACACTAAAGATAAAAAATTCGGAAATAAAAGTCGCCCCTTGTTCAATAGCTTTGGTATCATTCAAAGGTCTAATCTTAATTTTTTTTTCACCCAATAAGGACATTCTTAATCTAGTTTCATTTCTATGAAGCGATTGGGCCATTTTGATACAAATGCTCCTAAATCTTTCATGCTCTTTGGCTTGTTGTTTAATAACATTTGCCATCGGTTTAGCAACTGTCTTCACCAATAATGTTGTTAATTTTAACGCAATTGAACTCATGTGATATTGTGTCTATATATCGTAGTACCTGATGATTGTTAAGGCTAGGGTTGGATGATGGTATTGTAGATTGGATATGCTGTTTTTCTTTCAGGGTTCAATTTTATTTATTCAATGAACAAATCTCTAGGGTCCAATATTATGGTGTAACTTGGTGCTAATGCCGAGACTTATAGTTAGGACGAGATTGTGTTTGGGAGCTTTTCTTATGGATTTTGAGCTTAGTGAAATCTGGTAGATGTCGGTTTTGCTTCAGTATCTTGAACTAACGTTGACCGTATCAAGGTGAAATTTTGCGTGGCTGCGGCTACCCAATTTTTCGTTCTGGCTGGCTGGACCCCTGGGTCTCGCTCTCCCACCCCAAACATAAAAAATTTCAGAACTTCTGGCTTTTATAACAACCAATGCATGGGAACTGGAAATAAAGATATTTCAAAGATTGTATTTCTATAGGGCCACTTTGACTGTTTAAAAATATCGAAGCCTATGTTAGTATTATTGCCTGTCTTTATAGAAACAAGCGTGCTCTAGGTTGAAGCTAATCTGTGAGCTTCAAAAAGAAAGGAATTTGCTATCCGTAGTCTCTTGACAAAGTCAATTCGTGATTATAAGCGTCTCTCTGCTGATTGATTCTATATACTAATAGTCAATTTGTCTATTTTGCTCATTCATGGTTCAAAATTATTTTGGTTGCGAAAATTTGCTGCAGCGTGTATACCAATCCCCTTCAAAATGAATTGAAGTTCAAAGCTTAGGACTAGACCTAGATATTTAGTGAAAATCCTTGTGGCGTTTCGTTATTATATGAGGAGGTGAAAAGGTCATCGATTTCCTCCCAAAGGAATCGAAAATTGCCATAGATGTTATCTGATGATATACTGCTGCCTATAAGTGGGAACAATTCTCTCTCTTGTAGCCAAGTTGTCGTAAGCTAACAAAGGTAACATTCAACTTTGAATTCAGAAACTTCTGACTCCTATACTAGTTGTGTTTGCAGATCCTTTTGATACTTAGCTTCTTCCTTGGAGGTCACATTTTTGAAGGGATAGCCACTTAATATTAACCAACTTTCCCCAAGCCAACTGTATGCTAGAATGTATAAGAGCTAAATAACCAGCTTGAATATGAAAAAGAAAGTCAACACTTCTATTCATTATTTCAGGTAATGATATAGATAGTTTAATAAAATCTTGTGGTTGCAAAAATCTGAAGCTAAGAATTCAGTCAAAAAAATTGCGAATCTCATTGGCATATAGAGATTTTTTGAATGAGTTTAAAAGACCATTTTCATGGATAATCAACTTCTAAAAACAATCTATAATAAAGCTTGATAAGTCTATTATCAGGAAAAGTACCTTAAGTGATGATAGATATAATATTGAAAGATTTATTAGTGAATTTCAATCTGGTCACGTGCTGCCAATTTGGTTGGGAACTAAAATTTCACTAATTTAATCTCAACAAATAATCCGATATAGTGTAACGGCTAGCACGGTTCGCTTTCACCGAGCAGACCCGGGTTCGACTCCCGGTATCGGAATATCCTTTATTTTTTCGATTTACCTGGGTTTAATTAATCAATTGGAAGTGATATTGATCTTAATTGAAGTCAATTTTGGTGAATTGATGTTTTTCTAATAAGGTAGTGTAAAAAGTTTAAATTTTTTAAAAAAAGAAAAATGCAAATGAATGTAATTCGGGAAAAATGAGCCACTTTGTATTTTTAATTGTTTGAAAAATTTATTTATTTTTATTTGTTTTTTTATTTGATAGTAGGACAGTCCGATATTCATGTGATACCAGTCGAGATGAGTATAAGGAGATGAATAAGGTTCCCAAGATACCTTATAGTAAGGGAGTGTCTATGGAATTTCATAGCCCATTAATAGAAGATTAATTATATACAGGACAACCACACATGTGGCTACCACTGAAGAAAAAAGTAAAAATAAAACGAATGATTGATCTGACCAATCAGAAGCGATCCTCGGAGTTTTTTTTTCTAGAAGAATAAATTATGACCCCACAAAAATAATATTTTTAGTTTCCAACCACAAAGAAGAAAAAAAATTCGAGTCTCCCGGTTATATCCCAAAGGAAGTTTCATATAAATAATCAAATTTCTCTCCCGTCAATTTCCATTTTGTTCCTTTAAATTTCTCTCTCTTCTACTTTTTCTCTTTAGTCAACCACATAATCAATAAACCCCCGACCCACGGCAACCACTCAAAGATGTCTCAATATTATACTTTTGAGCATGAGGATAAGTTACCTCAATTACCAGTTCCTCTGTTAATAGCAACCACTCAACAATTATTAACTGCTTTAAAGCCATTATTATCAGCTGAAGAATTTGATTTATTGATTGATGAATCAACTGAATTTGTTAACAATGAATTAATCAACTTAATTCAACAACATTTAGTTGCTTTACAAGAGAATGAAGATATTGCTTGCTATTTAGATATTGTTCATAATAATGTTACTCCTGCTATTTATGGTGAATCAAGAGGTGATGTGTTACCAAGAAATCCTTATCTTATCTTAGAAGAAGATCCTTATTCAAAGACTATTAATCCACCTAATCAAGCTCAAAGATCTGCTAATTTAATTAATTCATCTTTGAAGTTTATTGTTAGTCTTAGAAATGAATCTTTAAAGCCAGATTTGACCCCTAAAAATGGTAACCCATTAACTATGGCATGTTATAAGAATCTTTTTGGTACCACTAGAATTCCAGATTTATCTGAAGAACATTCAACAAATGTGGCAATTAAGAAGTATCAAGATATTAACGACTCAAGACATATTTTGATTATTTGCAATAATCAATATTATACACTCGAAGTTTTAACTGAATACACTGAAGAAGCTTATGCTCAAACCAAAACTAAACATAAAATTTGGTTTAATGATCTTGAATTATCTATTATCTTGCAAGCTATCATTGATGATGCAAAGAAAGTTGACCGTATCGAGTCTATTAATAATGCTATTGGTTCTATTACAACTCAATCCTTAAAGCATTGGAAAGCAGCAAGATTAGAGTTAAAATCGTCAAATGCAGAAAATTTGAAAAAAATCGATGACGCATTATTTGTAGTAGTTATGGATTCTAATTCTCCAAAAGATGATCAAGAAAGAACAGAAGTAATTTCTCATGGTAGTTCTGTATTATCCGGGAATGTTCAAGTTGGTACATGTACTTCAAGATGGTATGATAAATTACAATTGATTGTTACTGAAAACTCCGTGGCTGGTGTTGTTTGGGAATCAATGATTATGGATTCAACTGCTATCTTGAGATTTATTAGTGATATTTATACCGATTCGGTTTTGAAATTGGCAAAGAATATTAATGGATCTGAATATACCTTGTTTGACAGTAATGTAAAGTTTATTTCGTCCACTGAAACCAAACCTGATCAAGTGAAATTGACATTTAATAAAACTCCCGAAGTTCAAAATTTTATTCATCTTTCTGAAACCAGATTAGCTGATATAATTAACCAACATGAATACAAAACTTTGAATATTAGAATGGATTCAACTTTAGTTAAGAGTTTCAGTCTTTCTGTTGATTCTATTTTACAAGTTGCCTTCCAAATTACCAATTACTCATTGTATGGTAGAATGATCAATAGTTTAGAGCCAATCACAACCAGGAAATTCAAGAATGCAAGAACTGAATTAGTTCCAATTCAAAATGATTATATTTCAAATTTGGTTAAATTATATATTACTTCAGCATCCGCACTGGAAAAATTTGAAGCATTTAGCAGATGTTGTCAAGATCATTTAGTTCAATATCGTGCTGCCATGAACGGGAAAGGTTTTGAAAGACATTTAATGTCAATTATTCACATTATTAAACGTCCATCGATTGCTAAACGTATAAATGAAATTAACTCCCATTTACCTCCAATTCCTGATTTGACCAAGACTAAAACATTTGTTCCATTATTATTAGATCCTACAATTGAAAAATTACAAAACCCAGAATTATTAATTTCAAACTGTGGTAATCCTGCTTTATTATTATTTGGAATCACACCTGCAGTAGATCAAGGTTTTGGTATTGGTTATATTATTCATAGTGATAAGGTTATTATTACCATTTGTTCCAAACATAGACAAACCGCCAGATTTTTGGATACTTTCCATCGTGTTATCCATGATATTAAGCAAAACCTTAAACAAAGATCCAACTTATTATTATCTATTAGTGATTCTGAACAACGTAGTATGGAACTTAAGAGATTAAGAATTGAGCATGAATTAAACACCGTTGAATCGGATAATGTCGCCCAAAGACATCCTATTCCATTAACTGTTGCTGGAGAATCTATTCCAATTGAAAGTATCAAGTTAGAATCACTTCCAATGATTAAGTCAGAATCTGATGTTAGATCTCAAGAATCTGAAGAAGAAGAAGAAAAGAATGAAAATTATGAATTAATGGGAGGATATGGATATTTCGTATATGGAGAATTAGATTTGCGTTCAGATGAAATTTCAAGAAATGCAAGTTATATTCATTCAAGAAATGATTCATACCGTGGATCAAGAGTAACAAGTGCTGTTCATTCAAGACATCATTCTGCTACCAATTTGGCGAAATTGGCATTATCGGCTCATCATGATACATTGGATATCAAAGAAAAGCAAAGTTTAAGTGACCAAATTCGTGATAAGTTATCAAAAAGTACAGATAGTATACCTAGTCTAGACGCTTCTTTGAAGAATTTGGCAATGACTCAAGCTGGCCCTAGCGGTTCTGAAGTTAGGATCGAAGTTGAAAATACCGATGAACCAAAGAAGAAGGGTTCAATTGGGAGAAAGTTGGATCTTTCCAAACATAGAATTGGTTGATTGGTTGAATAATTGACATTTTTTGTTCTCATTTATTTATTACAGATGTTTTTATTTTGTTTGTCTTTTATAATTTATTTATATATTTATATAGTGATAGTACCCTTATGAATACTACAAAGAATATGCCAAATCATTATTTTGTTTACCCTGTAGATCTCACAAGAACCAAATCTCACTGAACACACGGCAATTGCTACCTCAATGGGAGACATTAGGAAATGGTTGCAAACTAGTGGTTGCAACAATTTTCAACGAGTACGTGTATTAACCAAAATATGGAAATCCCGGGGCCGAAAAATTGGTTGTGAAAAAAAACTGCAATGACAAATCTTCTAATAATCAATAGTCAACGGGCAATAAGTACAACCACGATGCTTCAATATTGCGGCATTGCGCCCTTATCCAAAACTTTCATAAGAATTACAGGAAAGGATTCAACCAAATTCTTGAATGGACTAACAACTTCTCGTTTACTTCCAAATATAGTCAAGAAGAAACAACATACCATCACCGATTCTGATTCCAAACATGCAGATCTTTCAAAAGTCATCGATATAGAGACCAATTGGGGATTAATGCATGAAGATATATATGACCCAGAACAGAATATAACTATTTCAAGAGATGGGATTAATTCCATGTTTTTGAATTCAAAGGGAAGAGTAATCACTGATTGTTTCCTCTATTCTCATCCATTTCATAATTTCGAAGGACAATTTGATGATGAGATGAAGCAACCTGGATTTTTGGTGGAAGTTGATAATCCTAATTTATTAATGGTATTAAAATTACATAAATTAAGTGCCAAGATTAAAATCGCACATGAAAAATCCTTATATTCATATTATTATTATAATGATACGGCAAGCTTTGATGAATTATTAGAACTGGTTCAGGACAAATATTTCAGAAGTACAGATCCTGTCAATGCCTTACAAAATGCCAATTCATTCATTAAGGACGAAGTTTTCTTTAATAAAGACATCGCAAAGCATATCATTGGATTTTCATTCGATAATAGAATCCCAAATTTCGGGATAAAAGTAACCACCAACAAACCAATAACTAAAAGTGAAGAAAATGAAGAAGGTATACCGATAAAAGATTTTTTCTCAACTGAATTCCAAGCAAGTTACGCTGTAGATGCTGTACCAGAAGATACAGTACTGCAAAGAAGATTTGTGAATGGGTTGTTTGAGAGTCATGACGCTCCAAAAGATGTTTCATTATTACCATTTGAATGTAATTTGGATTATATTAATGGATTATCTTTAGAAAAAGGATGCTATATTGGACAAGAACTTACTATTAGAACATTCAATAATGGAATAATAAGGAAAAGAATATTTCCTGTACAATTTTTTGAAATTAATGAGGAGAATATTGAAGCAATTCAACAAATCGATATGACTTTGGACGTCACAGATTCAGTGATTTCCATTTTGAAGCAATTACCACCTTCTACTCTTGGAAAATTAGAAATAACTCCTTTGATCGAAGAAGCATTAGAAGAAATGCCAGAGCAGCAACAAGAAGCACCAAACCCATTTGGCGCTTCTCCATTTGGTTCTTCCAAGCCGGTTAGGAAGAGAAAATCGAGTAGTGGAAAGATCATGACAGTACAGGATAATTTAGGACTAGCATTATTTGGAATTTCAGATATTGAAAAGTGCCAATTATATAAAATTGAAATTCCTTCGTTGAAGGACGGAAACAAGGTAATAGGATTAAAGGTTAATACTCCACTATGGTGGCCAGAACAGGAATAGACATTCTTACATAGACCGATATTTATTAATTTGTACATAGATCACGCGTCACATAGTGAGGCACGGCATTAATCCATTTTAGGCAAGTCATCCCGAACAAGATTCGCCACACCAGGGCAACCAAAAAATAATCTTCTCCATCTTCGTTCCATCTCCCAAAAATCTCATCTGTTAATAAACTTCTCTTCTCCAGTAGACAGACCTTATTCCCAAGACATGGCCGAAAATATAACTCCAGAAGAATACCTTAAAATCATCACCGATGCATCTAATTCCGTTAAATCGAGAATTGAAGCAGAAAAACAATTAAGCAACCCAAGGGTAATGATCATTTGTGGATCAGGTCTTGGAGGCATTGCTGATCAATTACATTCTGAACCAAGGATTGAAATCCCATATCCTGAAATCCCGGGATTTAAAGAATCTACCGTTCCCGGTCATGCAGGGAAATTATTATTTGGATTAATTGGACCCAAAAAAGTTCCCGTAATGTGTATGTTGGGGAGATTACATTTTTATGAAGGTTATACTTTCCAAGAAACTACTTTACCTGTAAGATTAGCCAGTAAATTAAATATTGAAACTGTGGTAGTTACCAATGCTGCAGGTGGTACTAATCCAGGTTTCAAGAGTGGTGATTTGATGGTTATTTCTGACCATATCAATTTCCCTGGTTTAGCAGGATATCATCCATTAAGGGGTCCAAATTTGTCCGAATTTGGAACAAGATTTCAACCACTTTCAGATGCCTATGATTTTGAATTGAGAAAGTTATTTTTCAACAAGGCTAGACATGAATTGAAATTAACTAGAACCATTCATGAAGGGACTTATCTCTTTGCAGCTGGGCCAACTTTTGAAACTAGAGCAGAAGTCAGGATGATTAGAATGCTAGGGGGAGATGCTGTGGGGATGTCTACTGTTCCTGAAGTTATTGTTGCACGTCATTGCAATATGAGAGTAATGGCATTATCATTGATTACGAACACAGCTGTAGGTGAAGAACCACCAAGTGCGTTTGAAGAGAATCCAAAGCCGTTAGATGAAGGTATGGCTAGTCATGCTGAAGTTTTGGAAACAGCAGATGAGGCATCTAAAGATGTTCAAAAAATTATAGAGGCTGTTGTTAATGAATTGTAAATTTGTTAATTCAGAAAGTAAAAATACAGAATTTTAATTAAAAATAGGGATAGAGACATGTTACTTCTATATGTAAAAAACCTTAAAAAGAACAATTTTAAACTTATTGATCAACTTCACCTGCAGATTCCCATTTACCTTGTAAGTTTTCTTTCCATAAACTGACTTTATTATCGCCTCCAGAGACGGCCAAAATGTTTCCTGATAATGACCAAGAACATCTCCAACAAACATCAGGGAATTTTTCTTCAGTTAATAGTTGTTTTTGCCATTTTCCATCGTTATCTTGACTCCAAATCAACACAGTACGATCTTGAGAAGCAGTTGCAATATATGATCTTACTAAAATTGAAGGAGACCAATCAACATCTCTAACCCAATCAGTATGTCCTTCCAATCTTGCTTCTTCAACATAATTATTAGTATGTGCGTCATATTTCCAAATCTTAGTTAAATTATCGCAACCACAAGTAGCAAATCTACGTTGTTGTTTTAAAGCCAAAGGATCCTTGGATTGTGGACCTGATGAAGCGGTACTACTGATTGGAGCCCAAGATGCTGCATTCACACCTATAGCATGAGCATCGAATATAGCATGAGAAGTAGTTCCATCATCATTGAAATCAACTACTGAAACTTTTCCATCTGAAGAAGTACATAATAATACAGCACCTAATTCATGAGGAGCCCAACTAACTGAATTCACACTTGCTTGATGAGCATTATGTTCGGCAATTATTGACCAAGTTTGAGTTTCTGGACTTTCTTTCCAGATTAAGGCTTTACCATCATATGAACAACTGGCTAATATAGATCCAAATTTTGGATGTGCCCAAGATACTTGCCATACTGGACCTTCATGTCCTGTTAATGTGGTTGATAATTTGTAATTTTCAGTTCCTTCAATTTCAAATATTTTTATTGTTTTATCTGAAGAACAAGTGGCTAATCTTTTACCATAATAATCTAATACAGCATCATGAATCAAATCTTCATGAGCATTTCCAATTGTTACCATTTTGTTTTATTTATTATTTTCTGTATCTGACGCTGGTGCTTGGTATATGAAAGGTTGTGTAAATGTATATAATAAGTTTGTTACCAATTAATAGACGTTACCAATTGGTTGAAGATGATTCTTGAATGAATTGTTCAATTGTTCTTTCGTTTCACACTCTCGACTGATTTTCTGGTGAGCCAGTTTTGTTAGTAGTAGCCGTCCACTCTCGTACTGAAATATAAAAAAAAAAGATTAACACGTTGAAAAAATAAAAGGACAAATTAGTCAAGGAACACGACCTGTCTCTATTTAAGGAACCTACCAAGTACTATACCATCCATAACACTCCAAAAGCAAATCCAAAATGGAAAAGACATATGACGATTTGCTGGCCATATCCGCATTAGTTCAATCATTAACACAACAGCTTTCTGAATCTAGTGATCAAGTTGCAAAACTAGAAAAGATTGCTAGAGAATTAGTACCAGACTATGACAAGTTAATTGCAGCAGAGGCTCTTACGACAACCAACGAACCAGAAGAAGAAGTAATACTATCACCTGAAGAACAAGATGAGATAATAATCAAGAAGCTAGAACAACAACGACTAAATATTCTTATGGAAATTCAAAAGGAAGATTTCCTATCTGAAAAACTTCAAGAATTAATTGATCAAAATCAAACCATTTTAGAATCAATAAAAGAATATTTAGAGAACAAAGATCATATTCATAAAGAAGAAGAAGAACAAATACAAAGAGCATATGATCATTATGTCCATAATAAAATCCAACCAATTATAGACCAATTAGATTCAAATCTATTTGATTTATATACTGGAATTCATAAAGTACAATCAATGTTAGATAAAGAATTTACTAATCGAGAATCAATAACAAATACTTTAGAATCTCAAGAATATCAAGAAACTTTAGATTCAACAATTAATAAATTAAATGAAATATTCACAATTAGAAAATCTATTGAATTTTAACTATAATTTATTATTATATAGTTCTATTCTCCAGCAACAGCGGCAGATCTAATGAGGTAGAAGCTACTGTAGCTGTTGCTGATGGTGCTGACGGTTCTTTTCCAATATAAGAATATGCCTTATTAATTATGGTCCTATTAGGATCCAACTTTGCCCATGCTTGTCTTATTCTTTCATTATTCATATTATATCGATTAAACCTAACCAATTGGAAAATATGCAGAAACCAATCAAAGGCATATGTAGCATACATACTTAAAATGCCACTACCACCAGCATTGTCATCCTCATTATTATCATTATCATCATTATCCTCTTCCGATCCAGATTTCCCAGTTAATTTCCTGACAATTGATCTTCTTTCTTTAGGATCAAAAAATACTTGTTTGAAATTCTTCCGTTTAATGATTGTATTTGTCAAATCTTGAATTCTTCGTTCACAATCATTATTCAATTTTAATTGAAATAAATTACAATTCTCTTGCAATTCATCAATTCTTTTCACTACAATTCTAGTCTCATAACTAATCCTATCAATAGTATTAGTCAAAAGATTGATATTATATTGTAAATGATCAGATAAATCTTCATCCAAGATTCTAGTTTTATTTGAATCAGTTGACATCTTCAAATTATTCAACTTAATCAAATCCAAATTCATCAACTGGAATGACCTTTCCAAACTCTCATTATTAATATGATCTTCAATTGTTCCTCCTCCTGGTAAGCTACCATTTTCAAAATAATACTTCCTTAAATTATCGTACTTCATTAATTCACTAATATTATCCAAATATGTTTGTGAAAATTTCGCAATTGTAACCATACTTGGATCAACTACAACTTTATCCAAACATGACATACTAGAACTTCTGGGTCTAGATCTTGCTACTTCCAACACTTCGGGTTTCACATGCAGATCATTTTTAGATATAACCGACGTATTTAAGTTCTGTTCATATTGATCTAACAAGAACGGATACGAATTTCTTCTATTCAACCGATGTTGAAGACTAGCAATAGGGTTTTCACATTCCCTACTGGGAGGAACACTAATATTAGTATTTGATCCAAGACTTTTGGTAATCGATGCGGAATCGGATGAAGATATTTGTAAAAATGAATCCAAGAGAGCCGATTGAACCGATTTATCATAATCTAATTGTTTATGATTCCCTCCATTCATTTCAATCATCCCATCTGATTTCTGTCGTTGATGATCTTGTGATCCCCCCTTTCGACTAGTTACTGAAAGATTTTTCCTACTCTGTAATCCAAATTTCATTAAATTAAATCCTTTTGAATATCCTCCATTACCTGAGTGCATGCTATTAGGACCTAGTGTTAAGTCATGGGTTTGGGCGATTTTATCTCTTAAACTAGTAAACGCATATTGATAAGAAGCCGCTTCATCTGCAATTGATCTCCCCCTACGACGACTAGTCATTGGATACAATGGATTCAAATGCTGTTGGGGATGCTGATGCTGATGATGATGTTTATGATGTCGCGTACCAGAACTACCATTCTCATTTTGTGCTGTTGTTGTTGTCGTGCCTGCTGTATTTGTAGGGAACAAATTAGCAGTGTTTCCACTTTGAATACCATAAAATAGCCTAATTAATACTTTACCTGCTAAATGAGTTTTAACTAGAAATTCTAGGTCTAAAGATTCAACATCCAAGGGACTTACAGCATCTGTAAATTTCGCAATTCGATTTCTGATTCTTCCTGTAGTAGGTCTACTACTTGGACTTGGCATTTGTATATCGTCTAAATCTCTACTGGCTGCATTTAAATGATCCTGTACGGTATTCTTAACCACACTGGTAAGCTTTTTCAATTCTTTTCCATACCCTTTTCGTTTTTGTCCACTACTTGATCCTTTCATATTTGGAGGGGATGAAATTGAATCAAAATGATGATAATTATGAGGATTCAACAATGGATCAAAATCTTGATGATCATGACTAGATGAATATGCCGATGAATAAAAATAATTTGCATTTTTTTCAAGTTGTAATCTGGAATTTGTAATTGTAAATAATTTATTTAATGTTTCCATATCTAATTTTCTAGTTTTCTCTAATTTGAATTGTCTTTGGAATTGTCCAATTGCAATCATAAAATTTTCAAAATCAAATGGATCTTTAGGAACATCACATCCTCCTACTATTTGTAATCTCAATCGTACACTTAAGATTAAACTTATTATGGCTGCAACGGTGATTGGAGGTAATATTCCATCTTTGGTATTGGGTTTCACATTGAAATGAGGTAATCCAATCAAGTTCCACCAATTAACTATTGCCTCTTCAGTCTTGTTACATAGTAGACCAGTACAATATTTAACATCTAATAAGTCGAAATAGAATAAACTCATTTGAATAACATTTACCACTTCTTGAATTGCAAATTTAATTGGAATATTCACATTATAGATTTTATACATTTGTCTAAATTTATCTTCATTTGCATCCGAGATTTTATCACTTATTAAAGAAATTGATCTACCTGTACATTGCAATTTCTTTAAATTCGAGTTTATAATAAATGAAGTTTCTATTTTTCGTACATCACCTTGAGGTATTGGAATTAAATTTAAATTTGAAGGTAATGAAGTAATGTTCGTGACAAAGCAAACTTCATTAGCAAGTTCAGTAGTACTTTCTCTTCTTCTAAGTCCGCTACTATTTCCACTTGTCCTACTCTTAGTTGTTGCCACCGTCGTAAGGTTATTATTACTAAGTATCGACGTTCTATCATGTTCCATTTTCTTGATGGTGGAATGATTCTGAAGTAATTCATTCAAATACTCTTGAAACCGTATAGGATAATGTTTTGAAGGTTTCTTGACTATTGTGAATCTAGCTACTGTTATTTTGGACGATTCATTACCTGTATACGCAGTAACAACACTTCCTATATTCCTATTATTGACCCATTGTTCAACAAGATATATTTCATATCCTGTTACTTGTGATTCTTCCAAAATATGAAATTCTTGAGATTGTAGGAAATCTTTTTGAAAGTAATGGACTGCATTAAAGTCAGGGATTACGTATGTGATAAAATCATTTGGATCAACTGAAGATCCATTTGTTAAAGCTGACGAAGCGGTAGCAGTAGATCCTCGTTTGGTTGAGGCTGTGGTGGTGGTATTGGTAGTCATAGTTGGTGATAAGCCATTACTCACTTTTGGAGGTGGCGGTTGATAAGTTGGAGGTGGCATAAACGCCTGCCATCCATAGACTGACATTTGGCTTGAAAGAGGTGACAGACACTTCTCTACCGAGTGGGTATTTATAAATAACACGGTAGTACAGTAATTCAAGAACAATTAATTTTTATTCATATGCTAAGTTAAGAACTTTTAAATTGAACTTTCAACACTTTCCGTCGCACCCACCAGAAAAAACAAAACACCTAAAAAAAGAAAAATCCTAATGACATCATCATCAACCTTCAGATCTGTTAACATTCTTTCTAGTAGTATCAGATCTTCAATGATAATTGAGAGGAAGGGGGAAAGTTACGCTGATAGTAATAAAATCAACCTGCTTTTGAAAGATTTAATGTCGCTTTTTAATTGGATCGAGAAAGAACTGAAGAAAAAGAGGAAAAGTGACTCTGAAAAATTTCAGAAGTTAGTTAAATGTATGGTAGCAATCGGCGACAGACCTACCCCTTGCAAACTTGACAAATAATCACAATTGTTATTTATTTGGTAATTAGAACCCGTCATTTTACTTGGTAGAAAGGCAATGAACAGTTTCCATCTCTTTAGGCAAAATCTTGCAATTATCAACAGCCCAGTGTAACAATCTTATCCAAACCGGTAAATTGCTGAACACATAGTACTAGAGGTTGCAAAACTTTCATCTCTCAGACCCTTCTGCCTATTAAAATGAGTCTTTTGTCTCTGGTGGAAGTAAGATTACGATCGTCTGCTGTGTATTTATTGAAACAACCACAAAAACAAAGCAAGTGCTACAAAAAGAGTTTAATTAGCATACAATTACTACGGGGCAAGTATTTTTTTCAATCTCCATAGTTTAAAATTTCAATGAGGCTCGCTCATCTTGATAACCAATTTGGTTTGGTTACCCAAGGGTATGAAACGACTGTTTATTGACAATCTTATAGAATTACCAACAGAGTTAATTGAATTGATATTCAAATATATTCCTGATGAATATTTAAATACCTACCTAGATAATCCACTTATCGGAATATATTCCCTTAAGGTGCTAACGGCCAATATTGAAATTGACTCAGATGAAAATTGGCCCGTACAACTAGAAGTTCCAAAGCTATTCATTCCAATAGGAGACGAGGGTCTCTGTCTTGTCCATAAAAGAATATTTGAAGATGTATATCAATTTCTCGACTTTGTTTACAGGTACCCACATTCTGAACCAAGAACCATCAAGTTTTGCAATTCGAAAGATATAATGATTATCCACAAAGTGAAACCTTCAATATTAGAAAGGGCTCATATTGAAGTGGAGCTAGAGGTGAATTATGAACCATGGGAGTTGGAGATTTTAAGCCTTCCCTACAATTTCTACAAAATTGATCGTGGCGATGATAGAGATTATTCCTTACCCGAAACTGTACGATCCCTGGAATTACTGAAACACATTTTAATTGAATATCCCAACCGTTTGGACAATTTGCAGATTTTGCGGATTTATTGGCCATTGGATACAAGCTTATTACACCATCTTCCCCCCAAATTGGCTTCTTTAGATTTAACCTTATTTTTGGAAAGTGACAATTCGAAACCCAACTTGCCGAAGTCATTACAAAGATTAGCATTGAACATTGAATTCCCAAACGACACCTCTGAATGTGATTTATCCCACTTAGATAACCTTAAGACTTTCGAATCGGACTTTTACATAACGCCGCTATCGCGAATTCATTTACCGAGCCTGATTACATCTTTGAAAGTCGCTTGCAACGGAGTAGGGTTGAATTCTGTTAGACAATATCCCAACCTCAAATCCTTACAAGTAGAGCATATATCCAGAAATATATTCAAAGAAATGCAATTCCCAGAAAGTCTACAGGTGTTACAACTTGATACTGATTACACTCGTTACGCAGAAATCGACGGACAATTCCCTATACCTCCAAACATTAAGCTTCTAAGCATAACTGGAAGCTACACCTTAAGTTACAAGTGTGATGAAATAAGCTTACCACGATCGCTCGATTCTCTAACGCTTGTAGGCTGTCCTGCTCCGATGTGTACCTGGACTGATTTACAATTTCCCCCCAAGCTATTAGAACTAAGTATCCTGTCATACATAATGCATGAATTAATCCTTCCCGCATCATTGCTTTCCTTGAATTTGGAAGATTGCCCTCTACAATCGTTGACACACGTTAATTTCCAAGAACTACGCAATTTAAAGCGTCTCTGTTTGAATGATACCAGTATTAAAACCATTGAATCTTATTTGCCTCCGAGCTTAAAATCAATACATGTACAAGGAAATGCTCTTAATAAGGTGATAATTGATGTGCCAAATTTAAAAATTCTCGATTTAGGAGGATGAATAATAAGAAGCTTTGATTCCAAGCATTTCAAGATTCCCAATCATTGAATTTAGATTCAGTGGTTAAAAATGAATATGTTGCATGTAGAATACCCGCATCAGATATTAACAAGATTATTCTACCACAGAATTTAAGAGTTTTAAGTGCAGAAGATACTCATCTTAAATCGGAAGTTTTACAACGTTGGGATCTAGCTAATTGTTGCAAGAACTTGAAAAGATTATCTCTCGGTGAAACTGGTCTCACAAATATCGAATACATGTTTCCAAGTGGGTTGGTCTCCCTAGAATTAAAAGGAAATAACATAACAATCCCTAATGAGATTTTTTTTGAAAACTTTAAAGACTTAGAGTACTTAGGAATATCTCAGATTGGTCTTAACAAGTTTACTCAGTCAGGAAAGCAAATAAGATTTCCTCACTCGTTGATAACTTTAGATATTGGAGAGAATAATCTTTATGAACGTGACTTTCGCAAGCTAGTGTTGCATAACTGCAAAAAATTGAGGTATTTAAAGATACAACCTACCCCAGAGAGAAATATCAAGCAACTCTTTAATGATTTAAAAATCTCTTGTCCTTTGCTTGCATCTTCTGAATTTTTTTAGCTTAGATTAGGGAGATTTAAACCCTAATAGGTACATTCGCTTAATTCGGTACTGACAACTAACTTTGAAGATGAAAGGTATACTTGACACCCGGTGCAGGCCCTTAGACGAGGTTTCACTTCGTGTCTAACCCTTTCCTTTGCGACGTATTTCTGAAGCCATTGCCACATGTTTTTCTATGTTATTGCCCACAATCATTAGTCGACATATGCTCATATCTTCAATTGCATTAGATAAATCCATATCTAAAGGATTTTAATACATAGATGACACATCAGTAATATACATTCTTTTATTGATTGATAAACATCCAAGTAATGTAGGTTGCAATTTTTGTCTATTATTCGCGTTCCATGACGCGCGTCGTTAATTCCAGCGCGTAATTAACCAATTTTTTTTAACATTGCTAATTAAATTACATAATTCCTTCTCTTTCTCTTCTTATCATCTATCTCTTCTTTTTCAATTCATAACATGAGTAATATTGTATTTGAAAAGTATTAACCATTTATCCGACCATTGTCAGATCCAGCATTGCCTCGAACTGACATGGGGGGAGCTATTCGATTATTTTTTGAAACTTATGAAGACTTCCAAAAGTGGCTAGAACTACGAACATGGTTTAACCCATGGCATCAAACGCAAAACGATAACAACACAGGAAATTATATAATTTTACAGAAGTATGAATGTAGGCGTGAACCAGAAATCCCAAGTGATGTCAGTTGGGTAGAGTCTCCTCAAGATACGAATAATGTGGTTGGTCAACCTGCTGAAACTAGAGACGACCTTGATGGTGTTAGCATCAATAGAGAAGCTGTACCGGATACGACAGTCAATAATCCTAGAAAAAGGAAGGCGAATTCCATGATGAAACCTAAGAAATGCACTGCTTTCATTAGAGTGAGACAGTTAAAATGGGATAGTGAAGATCCGGAAATTGGTTCATATGTAGAAGCGGGCATTGTTAACCAAGATAAGAATGAATTCAAAATTGTGGTCGATTGGGGTTACAAACATGACCATCTGGTTGGAACCCTTGATAGTATCAAAGGTTTGAAGATGGTTCCTGCCGCCAAAAAGAATATAATGGATTCAATTGCACGTGGAGCTTCATGGTCAATAATTAAACAGAATGTCTATCAGCCAAATATTAAGGTTGAGAAGGGTTTCTTTAATGAGTATGATAAGATGAATAAGTATCATTTTGGTAACTGGAGAAAAACTTTTATAAATTCCAGAATGCAGAAACACCACACGTTTCTCTTCAGTTTAAAAAAATGGGGTGACTATATCAAGGAGCAGGGTGGTTATGCAGAATTACATACAAGTGAGGATCGAACCTTGCAGGGATTCGGGGTTTGGAGCTTTTCATTCATGACTCCATTTCAGAGAGACCTTTTTACTGACCCATGGAACAATAAAATCTGGTATGTTGACTCAACGCACAATATTGGTATAGGTATCGAGAAACAGGATACGTCATACCTTTTTACATTGATGGTAAAGAATAATGCTACCCCTGGAATGGGTACCCCTGTGGCATTTATGATTACAAATTCCCAAACTCCCGAGATTGTTGGCCGATTTTTTGAATTTGTAACCGCTATCACCCATGTCAGCCCGGCCCAAATCTGTTGTTCACCGACGGCAATTAGTGCATGCAAACAAGCTTGGCCGGACACGATCATAACTTTGTGGCATATTTCTCGTGCGTTTCTTAATAACGCACATCAGCATTTGGGTAAAAGTGATGTTCCGCACGCATTCACCTTATTTCTTCAAATGAGAGAAACGACTTCTGCAATAAAATTCGAAGAAATAAGAAAAGTCTTACATGAATCTTTTAGAGAAAACAAAGGATGGGTGAACTACTTCGAGAGTCAATGGATTCGTCAAAGGGAGCTTTGGGCATCGACCTTCATGGGAGACTCTGTTCCATCCGCTCAGATGAACGACTACATAGAATCCGTCGATTCAACCTTAAGGAGGCTCTCTATCGATAAGTGGGGTACCTATAGATCTGACCACATCGTCTACAGATTGTATGAAGTAGTTTTACCAGAGTTCATGTCACAGATGAATAGGGGCCTGAATCGTCTGGGAAACAGAAAGGACAGCAAGTCCGAAAGCCTTCAAAGAGATGCGGCCTTTGCTATTAGCGACCAAGATAGCTTGAGGATGGTTATTTATGAACATGATGAAAAAAATTTTGGTTTCCTCTTTCGAGAAGGATAAGGATGGTTGCTACAAGAAAGACGAATGGTTCAGGGTCGTCCCAAATGGCCTGAAGACCACTTGCAATTGCAAGTATTTCAGTACCAATAAGACCTGGTGTGAACACATTTTCCTTGCTGAAAGAGAGTTGGGGTTTATCAATTGGAGCGGTGCCAGTTATGAAACAAAGAAAGAGAAACCAAAGAAACAAACAAATGAGGAGCTCAGCGATCAAGCTTTTGCTTCTTATCGTAGACGCTTAGAAAAAGAGGCAACTGAGAGTCCTAGGCATTTATCAGACACTGAAGTGAACGATTGGCCAGACATTGTTGATATGGACTCCGAGTTCTTTGAATGCGCCAATGTTGAATATTTCCCGCTTTCAATAGAATATTTAACAGCAGATGGTCCTGGTAATGAGGAACTTCTACAATCTCTTGAGCGCTCATTCCCGGAAAATCCGATTAATGAGTCGAAAAGACAAAAACGGACGGAGGACGAAAAGGAAGTTAGAACCCTTGATTTGAGGCAGAAGTGCCAACGATTATTGAAACTACTTCAAGTCATACATGAGGACGCCAGAAACTTCGATGACCGTCTGTATGAAAAGCTCGAGGAAGCATTAAGAGTCTCTTATAATTATTTCTATGAGTTTTTGCAAAACCCTGATACTGATCCCAAGCCAATCGAACTTGAAAAAAAAACAGCAGACGAAGATTGACGAAATTTGTTTTGTATTGCTCGTGGCTTCGTATGTATAATTTCATATAGACTAGGTTGTGTATAATTTCATATTGAACTTCCATACATTAGTGACATTAGTAGCCATCAATTTAGAACTTATAAGCATTCGCAAAAACCCTGTCCCACTTCCTAAATATATGATTAGTAGGTCAGAAAAGTATTAGATAATATTGGAAAGTATGCTCAACTCCACGAGCTTTTTAATCGATGCTGTTCAGTCCCATCCTCGATAAATCTTATGTATTGTCAGCAAAACCGTTATCTGTGCGCGGGGCAATTCCGCGGGGCATATTTTTGAAAATTATGCGGTTATATTTCCGCCCTATCAAAATTTCATTTTTTTCTTCTCTCTCATCCCGGACTTAAATTTTCATTCTGATAAGACACAGAAGAACCAAGGGCTCAAACTTTTCTTCACTACGACAAGATCATGAGACTTACATTCATAAGATCCATATCATTTAAGAATACGACAGGATATGTTGTTCCTCAGACATATAAACCAAATCGTACTCTAATTCAAAAACTTCCATTTAAATATGCATGTAAGGTTTGGTTAAGATCATTGAAACCAAATCGTTTGGAAGAGGTTCAATCTGAGTTAGTCGAACTAATGATCCCAACCAAGCATCCTGAGAATAAGGATATAATACGTGAGTTTAAGCAAGTCAAAATTTCTCGCGATGACCATTTGAATGAAGTTGGATTGAAGGTTATAAATGGAGAAGGATTGAAAACTAAACATATTGTTTTCGTTCATGGTTATGGAGCAAGCTTGGGTTGTTTTGCTCGTAATTTTCAACTCATTAATAAATTTAAACAAAGTAAGAAATATAATTATCATATCCATTTCTTGGATAATTTAACATTTGGATTAAGTTCAAATCCTAAGATTAAGAATGATAAGATCAATTATTGGAAAATTCCTCGTTGTGCATCAATCAGAATGGTGGATAATGTCAAGACGGATTCCAAATCCCTTTATAAGAAGTATTATAAGTTGATCGAAGGATATAGATTACATCCGGAAAACTTTGAGGAATATAGAAGGCATTTTACACCAATTTTGAAAGATTTAGAAGATTTTTATTGTGGTGCCATTGAAGAATGGAGAAAGGCAAGTGGAATAGAAAAAATTGATTTCTTGGTTGGTCATTCTTATGGTGGATATTGGTCTGGTCTGTACTCATTGAAATATCCAGACAGTTTATCTAACTTAATTTTGTTATCACCTGTGGGTGTAGAACGTCATGTCCATGCAGTTACCAATACTGAAATTAGCACCGAGGTTGTAAAGCCATCCTTAGATCCAACTTCTTTCAAGTTCTTAACAAGATTACCTATTCTTTCGGCAAAGCATGTTAAAAATTGGTACAATAAACAACCTTTCTTGCCTAGGATTCTTCCTTTCCTTGGTCCCTGGGGAGTTCAGAAATATTTTGAGATGTGGTTAAGTAAATTATTCAAAATTAATAAATTGGTAGATAAACATGGTGGACCAAATGTAATTTTCAGTAATAATAATGATTTAATCTATGGGAAGAAAAAGGAAATTGCCAAGCTTGTGGAGTATTTATTCAATTCAATAACACTGGGTACAAATAGTGATATTTATATTAAGTATTTGTTAACCCCAGCTACAGTGAGTAAATGGCCATTATATGATAAATTCACTCATACATTGCAACAATCCCCTGAGAAACTTAAATTCAATATTCATTTAATGTATGGACAATATGATTTTATGAATTCTGAAGCTGGCGCTAAATTAATTGAAAAGTTAAATAATGAATTACCTTCAGGCACGATTAAAGAATATTCTGAAATCCCGGAAGGTGGACACAATCTTTACATTGATAATCCATTTGATACGAACCAAAAAATCTATGAAATTGTCATGAATCAAGAGAAGGAAGTATAGAGTTCCTTTCTCATTGTAAATATCTATTTATTCTTATTTATTACAAAATGTAAATATCAAAAATCATATTATTTATTTATCCCATAAATATTCTAGTGTAAAGAATCTCATTTTTTTTTGCAACCACTTCAAAAAATAATTTCAAGCCAGTCCTCAATCTAATTTTTCGCTATTTCAAGATATCGATAGTGTTTGGCAGACAGATGTTTGTGCCAAGAGAAACAGAACCGAAACATCAACTTCCCCTCAAGATATTAATACTTACACACGGCTGATGGTCAAAAAATATTTTTTCATCTCACTAATTGGCTTGGCAAACTCGAAATCTGATACGATTTAAGATTTTAGAGTCATAAATAGCTGGTGATTATGCAAAACAGAATGTCTCGAAGTTCTTGACAAGATTTGTTTTAATCATGAAGAACTCCATGTAGAACGATTTTCTCAACATGGAATTGACATATTTGAGACTAAAAAATATTTGTTCGTATCTATAGCCGAATGCACGCACTCCCATGTATGGCTAGTGCAACAAACCTTAGACATGAAAGAAAGATGAACCGGCTAATCGATTTCCTAGTTGATGATCTTTAATAGGCCACTAGATTGCAATTACCTTCATATTTTAGAAAGAATCGAAGACACCGGGATCATTATCCGAGGGTACATGAAACCCTAAAAAATATGTTTATAAATAATAAATTAAACTATTAGCAATGATTACACAGGGAACGGACGCGAGCGCAGACCGTAAGTCATCCCGAATTAAGTGAATTGTTAATTTGCAAATATTGATACAAAAACTCTTCATGGAACCTATGAGAGAAATGGTAAACAACCAAATGTTGTCTCGACGAGGTGTCATGTCACTTTCGTATTCAATGCAACAACTAAAGATTTAGCGGTGATCACGTTTACATTCTTTTTTCGTCTTTATCAATTATTTTTTCTTGAGATATTTTAGAAAAAAAAAATAATTATCACAATAATAATTATAATTAATCGCTATTTTTTGTACCATTGAAGGACATTTAATACGCAATCATTATTGTTCCATTTATTGTAAGTGATCCCCTAAGTATGCATAACCATATAGGTATGCAGGGATGATTGTAATACCGGCTACTCTAATCAGTCCACTATTTATACGATTCCGAAAAGGAACTTCCCGCCCACCATTATTTTTTAATTGAATGCTAAATAATATGGTGCGCCAAGGCTTCATTTGCCTCCCTTTCAATCAAAAACATTCTTTTACAGCCAGAGTCTTGAAGAGGATTGATAGCAATCAAAGCTTAATTGAACCACATACGTAAATGAATTGACGGGAAAAATAAATACATACTTACGGAGATCTACTATACTGGGAAGTTTAATTAGTGACTAATGTATCTCGCTTACCATCCCCCCACATGACTTGATTTAAATTTAATTTAATTATCAATGTTGTAGATTTTCAAATAAAATAAAAAAAAAAAATAAAATTCTAAATTTGAATGTTTTAAATATTTTTTTTTCTCATTGCGAAATATTATTCTAACAAAGGGTCACATTGATTATCCATTGATATATAAATATTTACTCCTTATTTTTTTTTTTCAATTTATAATCTTCTTGTTGATATCCTTCAATTTACTTAACACTATACTAGCAACTACTGCTGTAACTATAACAAGTAGAACTCATAAACATAATGAACAATGCCGCAAATCAGTATGACTTAGAACACTGCGACCCCACGCGCACTCAGGTGCGTCCACAACCATCTGCAACACCATCGACAACTTCATCATCACTACTGTCTTCATATACATACTCTGAAGACGGAGAATGTTCTTATGCGAAGAGATCTTATAATCCAAAAGTCCTATGTCAAAACTTCATAGATTCATTCAAACCATTTGATTATTCAACGTTACCCCCAATCTACTTCCGGAATAAAATCCTCCATACACATCAACTTCAAGAAGATCAAACTCCTAGTGTAGAAGTCACCTTCCACCCCAATCATCCACAATTCGATTATTCAAGATTGACTGATCTAGAACGAGATGCATTAGTCACTGCAAATTCACCATTATCAAGACATTTAAAAACTAGACATCTAACACTTATCTCCTTAGGTGCGGCCATTGGTTCCGGATTATTTGTAGGATCAGGGTCAGCTTTATCACATGCTGGACCGCTTGGATTATTTCTTGTTTGGTTTTATATTGGAAGTATTGTGTTTGCCACATTGGCCGCATTGGCAGAATTAGCGACTGCATTCCCCATAAGTGGCGCATTTGCCACGTTTATAACGTTATTCATTGATAGTTCGGTTGGATTTGCCATTGCCTGGAATTATGCATTACAATGGTTAATTATTCTTCCTTTACAACTAGTCGCTGCTGCAATGTCAGTTCAATTCTGGGATACATCCATTCATCCAGCCGTATTTGTGACGATATTCTACTTATTTATATTATTCATCAATCTTTTTGGAGTTAAAGGATATGGAGAAGCCGAATCGATATTGAGTATACTTAAAATCATCGCCGTGGTGGGATTTAATATTTTAGCAGTCATTATCGTAACCGGTGGTGTACCAGGAACACCTTATATTGGAGCCAAGAATTGGCAACCACCTGAAGGGGGACTATTCAACTCAGTAGAGCCATTTAAACAAATGTGTTATATCTTAGCATCGGCCCTGTTTGCATATGTAGGTACTGAAATATTCGCCTTAGCAAGTGTTGAATCCCGTACACCTAAAGAATCCATCAATAGAGCCAGATTACATATCGTTTATCGAATAGCATTGTTTTACTTTGTATCAATTATTATGATTGGGTTTTTAGTCCCATATACATCTGATCAACTTCAGGCACAACTGCGTCGACTTTCTGATGTAACGGTATCACCTTTTGTCATTGCCATCAAAAATGCAAATATTAAAGTCCTTCCTTCAATATTGAATAGTGTGGTTATAGTCACCGTTCTTTCAGTTGGGAATGCTGGTGTTTATGCTGCTACTAGAGTCATGTGTGCCTTGGGTTCATTGCGTCAAGGTCCTAGTTGGTTACATTATATTGACAGAAAGGGGCGTCCTATGGGAGCATTAGCAGTTCTGTTCCTGTTTGGACTTTTGGCTTATTTGATTTGTATTCCCCTGGCAACGGTTCAAATATTTAATTGGTTATTGAGTTTAAGTGGACTTCTGGCAATTTTCACTTATTTATTTATAAATATTTGTCATTTAAGATTTAGAGCTGGATTGAGTTATCGTGCAAGAGATCCAAAATCAGAATTATTATATACTTCTTCGATATATTATAGTTGGTATGGGATTATTGCATGTATAGTGACAATTGTATTACAATTTTGGGCAGCTTTATTTCCACCTGGAGAAGAAGGAAATGCAGATGCAAAAACGTTTTTTCAAATATATCTTTGTGGTCCAGTAATATTTTTATCATGGTTAGGTCATAAGATTTATATGAAGAAGAAAAAGGGAGTGAAGCTTAGTAAATTATGGTTAACTGCTGAGGAAATGGATGTGGATACTGGAAGAAGAGAAATTGATTTAGAGATTGTTAAGCAAGAAGTTGCTGAAGAGAGAATATTGTTGAGTAGGAAANTGATTTAGAGATTGTTAAGCAAGAAGTTGCTGAAGAGAGAATATTGTTGAGTAGGAAACCTTGGTATGTGAAATTGTATAGATTGATATGTTGATTTTTAGGGGTTGGTAGAGTTTTTTAATTCTTCTTTTAATTATTTATTTTTAGACTATTTTGTATATGATTTATTTTAGAGTTTGTTTTAATGTTGCCTGTATATATATTTGGCAACATTTAATGAAATGAAGTGTTCATTCACGTGGCCAAGAAGAGAGATTGTCCTTTAAGTAAAATAGCCTCTAGCTTTTTTTACATTTGTTTGTGTGGTTGCAAAAAAAACGGANTTTAATGAAATGAAGTGTTCATTCACGTGGCCAAGAAGAGAGATTGTCCTTTAAGTAAAATAGCCTCTAGCTTTTTTTACATTTGTTTGTGTGGTTGCAAAAAAAACGGATCTAGATCACAAAATTAACATGTGCAGGTGACAAAATCAGAACAACGCCACCTCCATTTATTGTGACTAATTAATTAGAATTCTAATGACTAAATTAAAAATGATGAGTGACTGAAGAGTGGCATATAAATTGTTTCCTTCTTAGTCGTTTCTTCTTCTTCTGCCGCATGCTTCTTCCTCTTAGTAATTCTAAGAAAAACATGACTGTGATTTTCTATAAATTCTTAATAAAAAATAGAATTCGCCAAATCCTTCTCTTTTAACAAATTCAAAATTTGACATTCAAGAGTGTTTAATAGCAAATTGAGACTTATTGGCAACAAGGGGAAAAGTGAAATCTAAGAATAACCTTATTAGATAAGAATGTACATGTGGCATTGTTCCTTGTTTCAATTCATTTTCATGTACCCCTCCGTTAAGTAGTCTCGCTATCGTATTTGCTTTCAAAAATACCCTGAATAATTTCAGATTTAAAATTTAAACTTTTTATAAAAAATAAAATTGAATCTTAAGAAAAGTTGCGTAATTTAACACATTTCTAAGCTTTTATTTAATTTATAAATATAAATGATCATCCCGGGCCTTGTTTCCCTAATTTCCCATTTCCTGTTTTCTATTCCATTTATGAAAGGTTTGTTATTATTTAAACATATTTATTAAACCAATAGACAATGCACAATGCGACAGGATCAAAACTATTTAGACAATTGTCAACCTGAACACAGCCATGTTTCTATACAACCATCAGCAGGGCTGTTATCATCATCATCGCTACCATCTTCATACACTTATTCAGAAGGTGATGAAGAATCATCTTCTTCTTATGAAGAGAAATCATACAATCCCAAAATATTATTTCACAATTTTATAGATTCTTTTAAACCATTTGATTATTCCAAACTACCACCCATATATTTCCGTGATAATAAACTTTCTGCCAGTCAATTACAACATGATGATCAAACACCTCCTGGAATAATAGATGCTCACATTCTGTCTCACGAGGCTCATAATCTACAATTTGATTATTCCGCATTAACCGACCTAGAAAGAGACGCATTAGTCACTGCCAATTCACCATTATCAAGACATTTAAAAACCAGACATCTTACACTTATTTCCTTAGGTGCAGCAATTGGGTCCGGATTATTTGTGGGGTCAGGAACGGCCTTATCACATGCAGGGCCGCTTGGATTGTTTCTCGTATGGGTATTTATGGCCACCATTGTTTTTGCTACCTTAACTTCTTTATCAGAATTAGCAACTGCTTTTCCTATTAGTGGTGCTTTTGCTACTTTTATCACATTATTTATTGATAGTTCAGTTGGATTTGCAATTGCCTGGAATTATGCATTACAATGGTTAATTGCCCTTCCTTTACAACTTATTGCCGCAGCAATGTCAGTACAATTTTGGAACCCCTCCATCCATCCCGCCATATTCGTGACGATTTTCTATTTGGTTATAGTATTTATCAACTTATTCGGAGTCAGGGGATATGGAGAAGCAGAATCAATCTTGAGCATTATCAAGATTATCGCCGTGGTGGGATTTAATATTTTAGCAGTGGTTATCGTTACCGGTGGTATACCTGGACAACCCTACATTGGAGCCAAGAATTGGAAACCACCAGCGGGAGGACTTTTCAATGCAGTAGAACCATTTAAACAAATGTGTTATATCCTTGCATCGGCGCTGTTTGCATATATCGGAACCGAACTCTTTGCATTAGCCGGTGTTGAATCACGAACCCCGAAAAAATCAATCAATCGAGCCAGATTACATATACTTTATCGAATATCATTGTTTTATCTCGTATCAATCATCATGATTGGGTTTTTGGTTCCATATACTTCCCCAAATCTTCAGACTCATCAACATATGTTTGCAGACGTTGCATTTTCTCCCTTTGTTATCGCAATTGAGAATGCACATATCAGGGCCCTACCTTCAATATTAAATGTCGTTATCATAATCACCGTTCTTTCGGTGGGGAATGCTAGTGTGTATGCGGCATCAAGAGTTATGTGTGCCTTGGGATCACTTCGTCAAGGACCCAACTGGTTGCATTACATAGATAGAAAGGGGCGTCCTATGGGAGCATTAACAGTTCTGTTTCTGTTTGGACTTTTGGCTTATTTAGTTTGTATTCAACTGAAAACGTTTGAAATTTTTACTTGGTTATTAAGTCTAAGTGGACTTCTGGCAATTTTCACTTATTTATTTATAAATATTTGTCATTTAAGATTTAGAGCTGGATTAAGTTATCGTGCTAGAGATCCAAAAACGGAATTAATATATTGTGCATCGATATATTATAGTTGGTATGGAGTTATTACATGTCTAATTACACTTGTATTACAATTCTGGGCAGCTCTATTTCCTCCTGGTGAGGGAAAGGCAAATGCCACGACGTTTTTTGAGATATACCTTTGTTTACCGTTGATTTTCTTCTCATGGTTGGGGCACAAGATATATATGAAGAAAACAAAGGGGGTGAAATTAACTAAATTATGGTTAACTGCGGCAGAAATGGATGTGGATACTGGAAGAAGAGAGGTTGATTTAGAGATTATTAAACAAGAAGTTGCCGAGGAAAATGCATTATTAAGTAGTAAACCTTGGTACGTGAAGGTGTATAGAGTCCTTTGTTGAAATATGGAGTAGTTATAACTCTTCTCTCAATAAAATTAATAGACAATTTGATTAATGCGGAAAGCTGATGAGGAGGTGTTGCATTTTGCAAGTCGGGTGTAGAGACAGGAGTGCTTGTACTAGAATTGCGAATGTTTTGAAAGAAGAGACACTGAAACGTCCTATACTAGATTGTCCCAGTTTAGCTATATACGGATATCCTAATGAACCAAGTTCGAATGTTGTATGTAATCTATAAAGATAGATAGTTGGTTGTTCTCCATCCAATTTCCAAATCCTCGAAAAAGGGCGGTTCAGGTGTGAAAACGAGGAAAGGTAGCCAGCGAATCACGGCATTTTCAGAAATCACCATAAATGTAACAAGTTAAGATACCGGAAACCTCGTCCGAAGCTCCGCTATACCACATTTTCACTAAAGTCCGGCGAAAGTCTATAATCTCCGCAATTGGGCAGGAGCACATAACCACTCCTTATATTGGGATTTATGTGCGCGGCAATTTTGGTTGCAAAAAAAATAAAAAGATTGAATGCGGACACAAAACTCAAAACCACAAATGAAATAGAACTTACTAATGATGCAAGATGACCGTTCAAATTTTGTGGTCAAAAGAAAGTAGATGCAGTCTTTCAGCAAACTTGTAAGTTACTCATACTTTAGAGATGTGATAACCAGCGAACAAAGATCTTTAAATCACAACCACCAGCAAGGTTTTTTTTTCCACCGATTTATTGGACTTTTAGAAAATAAGTTTCGAATTTGAGTAGCAATAATAAACAACAAAGACGAACAACGCACGCCGTATCACCTCCTGATATTCCTTATAACCTTAAAGAATGGTCTTACTTTAAAGCATAATCACCAGAACAAAGAATAGGGGCTTGACGAAGAAGAAAATTTAAATCGTGACCAATTTATAAAGTATATTCCGTCAAACATCACATACGGGACTCACTCGCTTATCAAACCCTGATTTACCTTGGTATGATATGTCAGAAACTGCACGATCTGATCATACAAATAAATCTGCTCAACGTCTTTCGATTTTTTATTTTTGTGCGGAAGTTAAATGCCACAAAAGCTGCCGCAATGTAAAGTGATGTCAAAGCTGCATCATGATGAATATGAGTGCGTGTGATAAAAAGGAGAAGTCAAAGATGGAATTAAGTTAAAAATAGAAAAGGGGGCAATGAAAAGCATAAGGGGACTTCGCATAAGAATGGAAACGAATCTAGATTTGTATGCGGGAAACGTTGACTGCAAAATATCATCATTGAATTGTAAGCCTACTCTGTACTGGTGGCAATGGGTCTAGAAACGATACAAATAGCAACTAGAAGAGGTGGAGGTTAATTTCGTAGACTAACATACTTTACGTGATCAAAGAAGACGGATATTGAGATATAGAGGATTCCGTCAATAAAATGGGGGGACTTGAATATTGCATGAAGAGGCATGGCCAAGCATACAATCGTAATGACTTACCAAGAATGGTAAGGAAATGTCAGTAGATTCAAGAAAAAATAATTCATTACACAGGGGTAAACTTTTATAATATTTTTCTTATACGAAGCGAAGAAAGATTCTTTTGGTTGATTTTGACGTTGCAGTGTACTGCGAGTTACTTGGTAAAGGGCATGTTCAGTTGTTATTGGTTACACCCAACAAAACAATTTGTAACTTTAATTCAATTTGTAATTTGTGTATTGTATGGTATAATAAATAAAGCCTGTTTATGTATATATATATATAGGAAGGAACTATGTAAGTAAGCTTAATATATGTAAGTATGTACTAAAGTAGAGTACACGATTAAGTGTACATATGTGTATGTGTGAATGAGTGTAATGAACAATTTAATAAAAATCGCCATCCAGTTTTTTCCCTGTGTAATAATAAAACAATGGAGGGACACAACACAAAACACATTTGTTGTAAATTCTCTCAAAACCCCACAAAAACTCAAACGAACCAAAAAAAAAATTTCAACCAAATGCAATAATAAAAAATTCCTTCTCTCCAAATAATAATAATAATAATAATTCATAACATCATAAAAGCAAAAGTAGTAGTAGTAACTCACTCTCTAATAAGGTAACTTTGGTGTTAAATCGAATAACCATTTTCTATAATTGCTTGTAATTAATTGATTGTTTTTTTCAATTTGTTGATCATTAACAATTGATGATGAATGTTGCAGTTGATCATATCCGGTGCAGTTATGATCACTACTCTCTAGTCTTTGCTTGCAAATAAAACATTCGTATAATAAATAATCATAGTTTGATAATAATTCATCATCATCATCTTCCAGATGATGATACTTATAATATGATGCAGATAATAAAGGTGATTGTATTGGGGAAGATGGCATAGATGATGTAGATGATGGTGTTATTGTTGAAGATAATGATGATGATAGGGATGACGAATCTTCTAATTCAAATATCTCTTCCATTTCGTCTTCTATAAATTCTGTATTCTGTTGTATCTTATTTAAAGATTGTTGTTGTGATTGTGTTATTGACATTATAGTAGGAGTATTATATATGCAAAGTAAGTGAGTCAGTCAGTCGAGTGTAAGTTCTTGATGACTGGTATAGTTGTTATGAATTCTAAGTAAGGATATAGGGGGAATATAAATATATATTTATATATTAACTAATGTGTAAATAGTTGTTGTTGGGTTTTTAATATGAAAAAGTTAAAAATAAAATTCAATCCAAAAATTGCAGTTATTTTAAAGTTTATTTATAACAACAGAAAACTGTTCTTCTTCTTCTAGCAATTTCTTTAAAAATAAAGAAAACTAAAGAAAGAAAAGCAAAAAAAAAAAAAATTACTACTAGTCACGTGTACAGATTTATTTTTTACCACATAACCACTGTTATTTTAAATCCACACCTGCAACCACAAAATCCACAGTAACCACCACAACCACCACCACAACCACTATAGGCCATTACGGTACCATCTATGACTAATAATCAACATCCCCTTACAAAAACTACCTTTCTAATAACCACTTAAATATCGCAATCACCGAGATTACTCATATTCTTTTTATTAGTCATTTTTTTTAAGTTAAATTGCTCACTTGTTGTTATGAGTGATTATTTTTTTTTTGGGTTCAACAAAAGCTTACAACCAAAGAACATCCAGAAAGAAAAGTGAAAAAAAAAGGAGATTATTGTCCGATTCTGGAAACACGCTCAATTTTGTTTTACTGTACAAAAAAAAGATCGGTGTTTGTTCAATTTCCCATTGTATCCTTTTAGAGCAAGGCTGTCGTTCCCTTTGTTTCTTTCTTATTCTCTCCCCTCCTTGTTGTTTGACCTCCACAAAAAAGAAGGAATACAGCGGTTTACTTTTGTGGAATTTTTAAATAGACAACAATCTCCGTCAACGCATATTTAATTAATTTTTCAATAAAAATAAGTTCGGCATGGCATACTTTTACACCTGAGAGATGTTTAAGCGCATTTTTTCAGATTTCCATTTTCGGACTTGAGTGAATGACCTCACCACACCATTGGATTTGGATTTTCTTAATAAAAAAATATAATACAATCATTCATACATTTGGGATTTGTTTACATGTTCTTCTACTACAATGATCTAGATTTTCTTGAAAGGGAAGTAACGATGATTATGATACAAGAGACAGGAGCCTTTTGTTGAGGGATTAAAAATAGTACCTATCTACTGAACAATACCCTCCCTGAGTCTCGTCAAAACCTGTCTAGACTTCCAGAACTTCCGATTTTATGCCATTTTTTAAAGGGGAGTAAATTATCGGAAACCTTATCAAATATCATCAATCAAATAAATTATTAGTAAACGATGACAAGCTAATTTTTAACATTTATTTAAAACATTTCTTTTTCCCGTTTATCCACGGTGTGCAAAATTTTTATTTTTGCATCGCCTAAACCTGATCCCTGGACATGAGTTTAATCCACTGTCATCTTCCATCCAACATATATCGACCCATTTATTTTGGTTAGGAACTCATATTCCAACAACTCAGGGTTCAACATCAACTCTCTCTCGAAAGATTGAACCCAATTATCATCTTTTACGTTTGTCTAGATGAGGGTTTCTTAAATCTCGAGGAATTGGAGATTTCTTTTTTACCCCACGTTTGAATATGCGGCACCAAATAAAAAATTTTCAACTTCTGTTTTCATCCAATTCCGACGATGTTTATCTGTCATTCATTTTCTATATTTGCCCTCAATACTCAAATGTTACATTTTGATGTACATGTATCAGTATACAGAAGCCTCTCAAACTGATCATTTGTTTACACTTCAAGACTGCGGCTGCCAAACGTTTCGAATATTTTCTAGCCTAGTACCGTTGCCGCAATGTATCTTCGATACGTCATCGATGTTACTAAACGTCATTGTCTTTCATCGTTCATTTACGAATTGTTACTAGATTGGCTTGGGACTTACGCTGGATAGTTATGCAGATAGATATTTGGGATCCAGTGCTACCAAAGTTATCGTTGGGATTGACTAATAAAGTTTACTTTCAGTCGATGTTTATAAATATGTCCCAAAAGCGTTCAAGCGCAATCAAAGCCAAATTAGGAGTTCCCCCCATTTCGCGGATGCCAAAGGTTAATCTAGATCGCATGTAATACAGCAATGATATCGTCTACAAAATGACCCCAGAAAGACCGATCAATTCCAAATTTGAATGATACTCCATTCGGAATAGCGGAAATTACTCCAGATTAAGGATTGTTCGGAGTGTACAATAGCATTATTGCATTACGTATCAAACTCTTAAGATAGTGAATTCAGTTGAACTGTGGTTTAAAGAAACATGTTTGGCTCGGATTGGATCACTGAACATTTCAAGAATACTACAGCCACAACAGTCAAAGGTCTTACAGGCTCTCACCTGGTTTCCCGTAACCTCTAAATTCAACAACGCCGTATATTCCCTGATTCATATATATAGATAGCCACAGTTGCTATTGAACTTGTGATCACTCACTCTTTTTGCAGCAAGTTTAATCGCAGATCCACAGTTTTGATTTTTGTTTTTCTCACGCGCAAACGTGTTGCCTGTATATAATTTCGTTGTGATTGAAAAAAAATAAAACGTTGACCACCAATTTCAATTAGATCTCTTCTATAACCAGCCAAGCTCCCCAATATGACAATCTACACATTTTTCATCTTTGATCGCCATTGCAATTGCATATATAACCGAGAATACACACACTCAGCCACCTCCTCATCATCTCACCCCCAACCACCAACATCCGCATCCACAACCACCACGGTATCAACCTCCACCACCGCCACCACCACAACAACATCATCAACTTCCACATCATCTCCTCAAGGACAAATCAATAAAAATAACGAATCAAACCAATCAAAGCTTCTATTCGGACTCATTTACTCCCTAAAAACAATTGCCACAAAATTAGTATCAAACAATAATGAATTGAATTCATTTGCATTAGGACAAAAATTTCGATTTCATTTTTGGGAATCAATGACGAAATTTAAATTTGTGATTGTGACTGATTATGCTAATGATGATGTTGGTGATTTGTTATGGATATTGTATTCACGATATTTTATTTCTTGTGTGGTTGAGAATGGATTAATGCCGGTTGAGTTTAGAGCCCAAGAGGGGGATACGAAAGAGTTTGCCGTGATTAATAATGGGAAGTTTATTGAGGAGACTGATCGATATTTACAATCTTTGAGCATTTTTTAAGGAAATGGGTTGGATAAGAGTTCAAAATTACATATTATTTAGAGGGCTCTTATATCTTCGAATTTGATAGATAAATACAATCGTTTTGAAAGGAGTCAATTTTATGCCAGTTAGACAATTAGGCGAGGGTAAGACTTATATGGTTATTTAAATCTATTTCCCTCTTGGATGTGAAGGGTTTGGTCGTTGTTGGTGAGTGATTGGCAGATCTGTTTTTAGACCTTCAAAAATGATCGAATGCTCAGCAATTCGGAATATCGATGTATGGATCAATTATAAATATAATAAAGTGTTACAGAGCTATTTAGTAAGGAGAGAAGCATATTATATCATCCTTTCATGTCGTTAATTTATTACCGCAACAGCAAAGATAAATGTCAGAAGATATTACCAATAGAAATAGGAGAAGTAGTAATATAGAGATAGAGCGAACGGTAGATAGAGATAATAATACTGATATAATAGAAGTGCATGCATTTCGTAGTTTATTTAGTGGATTTCTTATTTCAGAAAAAGCATTGGAAGTGTTTGTTTCTTTCCACGCAAGTTGGCAAACTGTACCTCGATAGTGACATAATCTGGATATTAAATGGCTTGATTTTCGCGCTATCAATGAGAGATAAGCTTCTTTGTATTAAGGAAATTGACCCTATTAGAGCCTATAGATGTAGTTCAATTTCTTAAAGATAATCTATTTCTCCAACAATGGCAAATCCCCAATCAATTTACCAAAAGACAATCCCATTATACTAACCCTTTTCTCTAGCAAGCAAGAACTGTTCCCAGTATAATATCCTGATAATGCCAGGGAAATTGATATGACGGTTGATGGATGTTGGCAAACTGCGGAGCTACCATACATATAACAATTGGTAGCACCAAAATATAGCTTTCCTAATTGATATGAGTAAAAAAAAAAAAAACACCAAATGAATTCATGCTAGGTTTACCAATTGGGAAATGGGCCTGATTTCTTACTGCTGACTTTGTAAAATTATTAATGATGCAATAAATACCTCTTCTCATTCAGGATAAGCAGACACTTTTTTTGAACCATGTATGGAAACAGGAATTCATGAAAAAGTGTCTGCATATATGATTTGTGTCTGTCCGAATTTGCTGCAAATATCAAATGTCGCATTTGAATTGAAAAGGCTTCCCCCAAATCCCCCAAAATCTTATGATTGTGGTCGATAAAAATGCGGATATATGCAAGGAAGTCTGCAAGGAATTGAGGGACTTAATACACAAAATATTCATACGAAACAAGAAGAATCGTTCCTCTTTATTATAAGGTAAGCAACAAAAATTTGCAACCATTTCTTATAAGCGACGAACTCTACTGTAAAAAATCTAACGGTAAACAAATATTAGAATCAAGTCTCTTTATTGATGCTTATTATCCAAGTATTCCCAAATTGGGCAAGCAAGGTTAGTTATTGTGCGTTTCCAAAGCACAGTCTATTGCCTCCAATCTCTTTGTTCTAAGAAGTCGATAAAGCAAATGTTAAAGATTTGGTAGGTAAATTCTCTTTCCACCCCAATGGGTTTGATTTATTTTTCTACCAGATAACCAAGAGGTTACCAGGAGAAATGTAAATGTAAAATTTCAATAAATAATGGAGACAGGGTGAATGTGAAGTAGACTTGTCCTACAAAGTGTGTAATTGATTATTTGCAAAATGATTTACAGGTTAATTTTTTTTTGCAGTTTCCCTTTGTTTACATTTTTTTAAAATTTTCCATCCTGAATCAAAAAAACAACAAAACTTTACAACCGCCAACTTTCTTTATCACTTTGAATATACCACCCAATAACTAATTAACGCGTAAGAGTATCATATAGAGAGGAATAACGAGAAGAACACAATTGGTTGATCATTTCCAATAGCATTAAAAAATTGTGGTAACAAGAAAAACAAATTTTACAAAGAATTCCAATTTTGTTTCAAAGCAGTTTCACATATAATGTCATCAGCCATGTCAAATACGACCGTTTCTCCAAAGCAGAAAAAGCGACCTTTGAATGCTAAATCACCAAGCGAGATCAATCAGATTGATTTAAGCAATAAGCGCCCTAAAACAAGCATGAATATGAATAACGATCAGGAATCATCAATTCCTCCATTACCAAAACAACGCCTTCAACTACAACAACAACAGCAACAGCAACAACAAAGACCAGTGACTTCAAGATACCCATCAAAGATACCAATATTTAGTGATAGGGACCAACCCAAAGGAGTTCGAAGAATATTTTCAGCCGATTATGATAATGCATGGTCATCGATTCAAGATCGACTCGCCAGAAAATCATCTGTGAATGATCCAAAAACATTACATATTGCCCAATATAGGAGACCAACCAAATCAGCTCAAGACTTTCGAATCAATACCCAGGAGAAATATTATGCTCTTAATGAAGAATTCAAACGATTACAAACAGAATATGATGTTGACAAGAAAGAATTTGAAAGTTTGAAACGGACTTTTAAAACAACAAAGTATAGTATAGATGAAGTAAATGATCAATTATCGATTTTGTCATGTCGAGAAATGGATAAAGAGGAGGTTATATTGAAAGAAGTTAAACATGCGGAAGAAGCTGCAAAATTCAAATTGAAAAAATTGGAACATGGACTATTGGATCAATATAAGGAAATCGAATTACAAATGAAAGATGAATTACAAGATGCAAAGGACTTCGATGCGCTGTCTTGGTTGGATGAAATTAGTAAATTGGAAAAGGTGAATGAGGAAGTAGCCAAGCAGTTAGAGGAACTTTCAAGAAAAGAAAAGGAACAGCTTGAACCTTTGCAAGAAAAACTCGAAAAGGAACACAAGGATAAGTTGAAACCTAAGACTGATTTACAAGTTCAACTTACACAAGAAGTAAATGATCTTCAAAAAGAGCTTGAAGAGATAGAAGTCAAAAAACGCAATGCTAAAATGAAACTTGAAAAAGAACAGAATGCCGTTCATCAGCAAAAAGTACAAATAACAACCTTGGAACATTCCATGATAAATTTCCATTCAACCAAGAGATCAATGCAAGAGAAGATCCTTGAAATAGAGAAAAGACTTGCGGAGCTACAAGCTAGTGATAAGGAAAAACAAGATATATATGATGTTACCTACGATAAGCATCAAATTCTCAAAAATAAAATAAGGAAACATGACAACTTAAGACGAATCATTGAAAATTCAATAATGAATTATGAAGGTTTATTCAGAGTGTATGTCATCTCCAACTCAAACTCAAGTTTCATAAACGAAAGTCAATATAGCTTCAATAGAGTCTTTGATTCTGATGCTCCAACGTCATATATTTCTGAAGAATTTTCTTGTCTTGTCAAGCAATCATTGACGGGTTCCAATGTTTCGATATTCAATTTTGCTGCATCTCATTCAACTATAGACTTACTTGCATACAGCACCACGGCCCTCGTGACAAAGATATCGACACTTAATAAAAAGAAGTTTGAATTAGGATATCAATGCGTTTCTATATCATTGAATAATGATTGTTTGGACTTATTAAACTCCGGCACAAAACTTTCCCAATTTCGTGATATTACGAAGATTAGTTCCCAAGAGATGAGAATCGAGGATGGTAAAGACTTCACCAAGGTAGTGGAACAAGTCACTGAGTCAGCATCGAATATAATATTACACAGGATCACAATTGAGGCCAAAGGGTATACCAGAATTTTCTCCATGATTGACATGTCAAGAATTTCAAAACCTCAACAGATTCAAATATTACAGAAATTCATCTCAACAACTCAAACGCATTCCAGTACGCCAATTGATATTTTGCTATCATTCGCATATACGAATTCCAAATGCTTGTTCATAGTTGCACCCGATGAAGACGTTGAGCAACTTGATCTATTACAAACTATAAACTCGACCGATTCGCCCTACCAACGCAAGAGTTAATGTTGATAGAACTTAAGTATAAGATATGTAGTAATAATACAGAATGTCTTTTATAATATATCATACATAGCAATAGAAAACAACCGGCGCCAAAAAAAAAATGAAATGTCTATAAATAATTAAATTACATACTCGAAACAAGGTCATGTAACATCCATTTCAATTCATCAGTCGTACCAATATGCGCATCGGGTCTTGGCAATTGATGTACTTGTGAGATAGTAGGAGATAATGCCTGTGGATTGGATGAATGATCCTCGTGTTCTTTCTTTACCACTAGATCCGTGGAAATACTTCCATTCAAACTAGTTGCCCCATTTAGATTTGAGGATGATTCATTGGGTGAAATATTTCCAGGTGGTGGATGAAGCGATGACTTGGAGTCCGAACTGGTTGGATTGGTGGTAGTTGTGCTAGTTTGGGGTGATTGGAAATTGAATGATTCTAGTCTTGGTGGAAGTTCATAATCTAGTGTTTCGGTTATATGACCATCATTGTCAAGCATGACGTTAGATAATCTGAATTTGGGCCCGCTTGGTTCGATTAAATGAGGAAACATTTCTAATGTGTCATATAAATCTTCGATTGATAATGTGATATCATTTGATCTCAGGTGTTCATCATCCTCATCAAATGTTCTTTTTCGAGGAACTACTGATTTTGTAATTCTTTCTCCGGTAGATTCTAGTGGTATATAATCATTATTGGTGTATTTATTCTTTCTATACTTGGCCACATCAATAGCAGTTTCCATTATATTTTTTAAGTGTGTTTCCAATCCTAATAGTATCACTTCTAGTACTCCCGCATTTAATCCTCCAGTTAATCCATATTCTCTCATTGTCATCAATACTCTTCTAGATAAGTTATCAAAATCTGGAATTTCATAATTTTCTGTAGCGATTGGTGTATTAATCCCATTCACCACATCCTGTTGCCACTGAACGAGATTATTTACTTGTAATTGTTGCTGTTCTTTATCTTGGATCATAGGAATCTTTGGTAACAATGTATGCCTGGTTAATGTGATGCCCGCATTCAATTTACCTCTCTTCCCACTATCTCTAGTTATATTCTTGATTCTCCTTCTTTCTTTTATTGGTAGACCCATAATATTCTGTTTGAACTTTTCATATTGAGTAGATTTCACTTTAGATGCCTTGCCAGCTTTTTTGTTCCAGAATGAAGCGAATTCATTCAGGAAATCCAATGGGCCATCCTTAAGAGAATTTGCAAAGTTGAGTAACAACAATTTATTATGATATTTTAATAATCCATTTTTTAAAAGTGGGGAAATTATGGATACTAATTCAGGACGGGATAATTTACCAATCAAAAATAAACTTAATGTTTCATGATATTTTTCCCAATCGTTTCCTAATTTTGATTGGAACTCTCGTATATGTCTTTCCAATTCCAAACGTTTATTTGATTTACCTTTTATAGAATGAGCTGAGGAAGTAGCATGCGGATGTGCGCTTGATGGAATTGCACTGGATGACTGTATAGATGGAGCATTCGCCGAATGTAATTTGCCATTATTTGAAGCTGATGTAGTAGTCACAGCAGGATTAATCGTGGTTGTTGTCGTTGTGACTTGAGATGTCATATTTTAAGTAATTGTTGCAATAATTTCGAAATAAATGCAGGTTTAGAACTTTAAAAATAACGCGAATGAAATATGAATGCTATGTGATAATGGTGAAACCAGAACTGATAATGGAATATATATATAATACAAGAAGCTATGTGGAATGAAATGAAGTTGACTAGTGGTTTAAATTCTGAAGTGTAAGTTTTTATATGGAGAAATTGAAGAATCAATTATTTGCAATACAAAAGATTGATGGAACAACAATTACAAAGCAAATGACGAACTCTCAAAAATGTGAGTGTTTGTTGTTTTGATTTCAGTTGTAGTAGCAGTAGGAGTGTATATAAGATACAGATACCAACAATGTGAAATGCGTAGCTTTGATTGATTGATTGATTGGAAATGGAAATGTTTGATTTCTATTCAAGTAAACCATAATATTTCTATTTTCTTCTTCTCTCTTTCTCTTTCTCTGTTTTGTCACTCACACCTTAAAAAAAAAAGGTTTTCGTTCTTTGAACAAATTACACGACCCTTACTGTCATACAAACTTTATTGTGAACTATAGTTCTAAGAGGTGCCCTCCTTTTTGCTAGATATGTCTGTAAAATTACTAAAGTAAGATCAAACAACAAACAGAACGTCCTTCTGATTATTTTCTAATTACTAATTGACATCAAATATATGTAATCAAGAAGTGTTTGACAATGATTTTATCAATATTTCGGGCTATCGGTAATGGACTTTCCTAAAAGAGTAATTTGTAACCGGCCCCCGGGATCCAAATTTTTCAGATTCTTTTCTTTTTTGGCTGTGTTTCTTTTTTTTTCTTAACTATGGGAACCGGAACTAGCCGTGACTTTTCCGCAATTTTGTCATTGCTAAAAGATGACAATTTTTACTTCAACCACAGTCATCAGCCTCCTCTACTATAAATTTATAACTATATCCCGCTTTTTTCACTATTTGTCTGTCGAACTACAATAACCAATAAAGAGAAATATGTCGGGACTTAAAGGTTTAGAAGATTCTTCTTCTGATACACCGGAAAGATTCGAAAACAGTTTATCCAATTTTCCATCAAATGTTGAGCAGTCTTTGGAAGCATATATTGGACAACGAAGAACTTCCGATTCGGAGTCTATGGACTTTGATCAGTCAGAAAACAAAGAAGAAAGCAATGATGATATACCCTTGGGCGAAACCCTCAGTCGTCAACAGTCTTTTCTTCAAAAGATTCAATCCCGTTATTCATTCTTTAATGAAAAACTTTCACCTGAGAGAAAGAAACTTTACTTGAAATTTGGGATGGTTTACTTAATTATGGCGGTTGGTGTCTTATCTATCTTTTCCATCTATTGGGGGTCCATGTATGGAAGAGATGGTAGAATAAAGAATTTACGAATGTTGGTGGTTATTGAAGATGATCATGAGATACAAGGAATACCACCTTTGTTTGGAAATCAAATACAAAAACTTCTCAATACTCCGTTGGCTCATGAAATGGGAGATTGGATAGTTTACAATTCATCGGAATTCAATGAAATAGCACAAAAACATAATAATACTATAGAACAAGAAGTCACTCGACAAATTCATCACCAAAATTATTGGTCTTCCATTTATGTTAAACCAAATGCAACTTTCAACTTCTACAATGCAATAATATCAGGAAATGCACAATACAACGTTTCAAACAGTTCAATTATCTCCATATATGAGACTGGAAGGGATTTGATTAGTATGGTTGAATACGTCGTACCTTCTGTTCAAGCTGTCGAAAGCGAATGGTTAGATGTAAATACCGTCGCCCGAAATGTAATTGAACTTATATCGAACAGATCCGAAGTATTCTCCAATCCAGATTCCATTGATATAGCTACTCAATCACTTAATTTCCAATATTATGATAAAAGACCAGAAACTAGTCCTGTCCTCGTGGCTCCATCACAAGTTGGACTTCTTTATATGATCATTGTCACATTCTTTCAATTCAATTTCTTTGTTGAAATCCATAAACAAGTGGCTCAAATAGTAAAGAAATCACATTATTTATTTTATCGTGTCGTTGCATCTACCCTTTCATATTTTGTCATTAGTTTAATGTTTTCATTAGTAACATTGGCCATGCAAGTTGATTTCACTCCCGCATTTGGAAAATCGGGATTCTTGGTCTATTGGATGGTTTCATTCTTGACAATGTGGGCAGTTGGGGCAGCAAATGAAATAGCAGCATTACTCATCATAACAGTATATCCACCACTCTTGGGATTCTGGTTGATTTTTTGGGTTATTATTAATATTACTCCAACTTTCACTCCTATGGCTTTGAGTGCTGAATTCTTTAGATATGGATATGCTATGCCATTACATAATTCATATGAAATCTCAAAGGTGGTGTTTTTTAATACTTACAAAGGTCAAATGGGAAGAAATATGGGTATTATTGTTGCTTGGGTGGTTATATTGACTGCAGCTTTACCATTTGTAATTATCTACTTTGGAAAGACTATGGCCAAAAAGGCCCAAAAAGCGGCTGCAAAGTAGAAGACAGGGTTGGGGCTTACTAATATTAGATAAGCTCACTACATATTATTTATTTAGATATATACTTTACATAGATTAATTTAATTCCTAAATTCGTTAAGATCAGAAGTAGACTAATTTGTAAGCAGAATGTGTAATACTTGGCAGGTTAGCCGGTTTAAACCATTACGGAGATAATGTCAGGGTGGTAGTCGTTATTCCCGGTGGATGTTTTATCCTAAGTGCGGAGATCAGATACGGGCCTAGATACCGAAAAGGGAAAAAAGCCCGCCCAACACGATATAAATCCACACACACGGAAATATCAATTTGGCTATTGCCGTGAAATATTTGTAACTTTGTGTCGAGGACCGAGAAATATAAAAGCATATCAATTTCTCCTCCAATTGAGATCAGGTTATTTAAATTTAACTTCAGATAACTCAACAACAGATAACTCAACAGTAGAACAAGGTTAAGAAAATGTCTTCAGACGAAAGGAAAATAGAAATTGAAAATGGTAGTATAAAGTCAGCTCAAGATTGGCAAGGATCATCACAACTGGACCTAGAGAGCCAGGTGGACAAATCTGATAGGGATACCAATACCGTCCCGGAATACTCTTTTTTTGATCCCAAATTGTCTGCACAACGTAAACGGTTAAAATTTGAGTTTTCAAGAGTTTACATTATTATGATCATTGGGATAATGGGGCTTTTTTCAATATATTGGGGTTCGATGTATGGAAGAAATGATAGAATCAGAAACTTGAGAATGTTAGTAGTTATAGAAGATGATATTACCATAGAAGGTATCCCTCCTATTTTAGGTGATACTTTACGAGAAGTTTTAGAAACCCCCACTGCATTAACCCGAGGTAATTGGCATATTTTTAATTCGTCTGAATTTGCGAAATTGGCTGCGGAAAATAATAATAATATTGAACAAGAACTTGAAAGACAAATTCATCACCAAAATTATTGGTCTTCGATTTATGTTAAACCAAATGCAACTTGGAACTTTTATAATGCTTTGATTCAAGGTGATGGTAAATATAATGTTTCCAATAATTCTATAATTTCAGTTTATGAAACTGGAAGAGATTTTGTGGCGATGAATCAATATGTTACCCCTTCAATTCAGATGATTGAACGGATTTGGTTAGGAGAACAAACTAATATGACACAACCCTTACTTGATTTAATGAGCAATGCCTCTGAAGTACTTTCTCAACCAGGTACAATGCAATTACTTGCCTCCCCAATCCAGTTTATTTATTTTGATAGAATAAAATACACTGATCCTGTATTGCTTGCTCCATCTCAAGTTGGGTTGATTTATACTATAATTGTCACATTTTTCCAATTTAATTTCCTTGGTGAAGTCCATATTGCAGTTGCGAAATCTGGAGTCAACAAACGTCATTATGTCATCTATAGATTCCTAGCTTCTGTTGCTTCCTTTTTCGTGCTTAGTTTTGCAGCTTCTATTGTGTCTTTGGCATTCCAAGTCGATTTCACGAAAGCGTTTGGTCATTCTGGATTCTTGGTATATTGGGCAATTTCATTCCTTACAATGTGGGCAGTTGGTTCTGCAAGTGAACTTGCAGCTTTACTTTGTATTACGGTATATCCACCATTAATAGGTTTCTGGTTGATGTTTTGGGTTATTATTAATGTTGCCCCAACGTTTACTCCACTTGCTTTAAGTGCCAAGTTTTATAGATATGGATATGCTATGCCTATTTATAATTCATATGAAGCTACTAAGGTTGTTCTTTTCAATACGTACAAGGGGGCCCTTGGTAGACATATTGGAATTTTGATTGCTTGGATTGTATTACTTACGATTGCATTACCTTTTGCTTTAGCATATTTTGGAAAGACTATGACCAAGAAAGCACAATTGGCAGCTCAGAAACAAGCAATGGAAGAACAACAAAAACAGTTGGAAGAATAGGCTTTTGTTTATTTATTTATTATATTTTCGTATTATTTCGTAATAGTTACCATGTAGTATTGATAGAGTTTATTATAATACAATATTTTGATATAAATGCTTTTTTCTATGATTTCTTCCAAGTTCATAGTAGTGTATCTCCATCAATTAAAAAGGATAGTGAATGGGAATGTTGCCAAGAATGCCATATAAAGATTCTCAGAAGTCATTTCAATTATTTTTGCAGCCAAAAAATTAATTTAAATATTTCTTAGAATCATATATATTAGACTATATAAAAACGAGAAGAATCTATATAGAAATATATGCGCCTCCTGGACAATGTAAGGAGGGATTCATACTTATAACTCTAAGTGGTTCAAAAAACCTTTTATAGGCTAACTATGTCAGAAGACACAGTCTCGTGTGAGAATCTCCTAAAATAGGCATACTCACTAAAAAAACCAGCTTTTTCTTAAGTTGCAACATATTTAACATTAATAATTGGACTTGGATTAAAACTGTAATAAAACCACTGTTATGGATAATAAAGGTTTAAAAGAAAGTAAAAAAA